GTAGTTAGGCTGTATAAATTTTAATAGTAGATTTTCTAGCATAACTTTGTCATATATCTATACTGTATGTGTAGAAATGCCTATATCAATTTCCTTGAAGGATTCCCTGTCTATTCTGAATTATTATAGCAAAAACATCAAAATCTGAAAAGAGGGACCACTGCCCTCCCTGCCTCAATTCTAATCTACCTACATGTAGAATTTTAGACATTCTATTGTATGACATATTCTACAATATTTGAACTATCTTCTGGTTGTGAAAGAATGTTGTGTCATGTTTATTTTTTTAATAGCAGGATAAGCAAACGACAGTGGAGTCTAAACTGCTTTGCCCTCGGTGTTAGATACAAGATTGGGTTTCCATTGGAGGACATTGCATTTCGATATCCTGGTGATACAGTAGATGCCAAACCTTAGCCTTAATAGAATCAAATCAGTAGAATTGAACGAAGTTGGAGTGGCTCCACAAAATAACGCCCTGGTGTACACGACTGTTGGAAAATGCCGGCATAGATTCCATATGAAGATGTGAGAATTGTGAGATGAGGTCAGGTCCGACGAGAGGGTGCCAGAAGGGCACTTCCGGATATGGCAATCAAATGCAGGACATATAGAGACGCGCGGAGAATTAGCGCGTCCCCACTCAACAGACCACTCCTCACTTCAAACTATCATCACCTCCCAAGGTACGTGCCCCGCATCGCATACGTGGATGTCGGGATGCTCACTTAGTATATAGCCCTCTTCTCCCGTCGTTCCCTCTCTTCCTGCACTTTGCAAATTACTCGCCGCTCAGGAGCCGCGGAACCATTTTCGGTGTTTGAAACGCTGTCTTATTCCTCCCCGCACTCTTCGACCTCACCTATGGATGATGTGCTCGCTCTGGGTTTCAATGATATTTCAAGCGAGTGGGACAAGGCAATGAATGTTGACGACAAGCTTCCCGGTTTGGACTTTGACTTGTCAGGTTCGTCAACCGAGAGCAGCAAGTCTGATCGAGACTTGTCGCCGTCAGCCGTCCTAACCCCTCCTGTAAGTGGCATTGTATTTTGTTGAGGATGAAACTTCCCCTTCCAACCCCATAACATATATTACTTTCGATGTGCCTTTGTTTTGTTACGGTCTTTGGTAAACTTGAACAACTACTTTCTAATTTCATTTGCATCTATTAATAGAAACTGCTTGAACATTATTGCTAACAAGACTGTTTTGTTTCTTCCAAATAGGATTCGCAAATGGGTTCTCCTGTCGTCGACAATAATGGCGAAGGGAATATCTGTATATCTGTCTCGACCACCTTTTACCCACAGTCCGAAGGCGACCATGCAACCGTTCTCATTATTCTTGCGTCTGATTCGGTATTCTTCTACGTTAATTCGAACCTCTTGATATCTGCATCCCGCAACGGGTTTAACAGTCATCTTCCGATTGCGTGTGATAATGATTCCGACCCCATTCTCAGTCTATCGGAAACTTCCGCCGTTCTAAACATTCTGCTGCATACGATCTATGACATGCCTTGCGCACATTACTGTCCGTCTCTAGCAGATCTGTCGGCTGCAGTGACCGCATGCAAAACATACGGTATTCCTCTGAAAAAATATGTCGCGGCCGGAACGCCTTTGTCTCAAGCGCTCCTTGCTTATGCGCCTACCAATCCACTGGAAGTATACGCGCTCGCTGCGTCCCATGATTTGCTTGACCTTGCGGTCACGACCTCTTCGCACCTTCTTTCATTCCAGCTACCTACGCTGACAGATGAGATGGCGGCAAGGATCGGCCCTGTCTACCTGAAGAAACTTTTCTTCCTGCACCTCGGACGTATAGATGCTGTACGTAATTCCGTTCTTGCGCTCCGAGAGCTTATCAAATATCTGATTCCGTACTGATATGGGTTTCATTTTACCATATCTCTAGTTGAAGCGATTGCTTGTCATCTCACCGCCACCGCACGCATCAACGCAGACCTGTGACTTCACCGAACAGAAAGCGATTACACGTGCTTGGTCTCTGGCGACTGCGTACCTCACTTGGGAAGCACGCCCAGATCTCAGCGCCAGTACCATTGAAGCAACGCTCCACCCACTCGCTGATCATCTCACCTGCGACCAGTGCCGATCAACTCTCATGGCACGAATTCGAGAGGTGGTGGTGCAGTGGTCTATGGTTAAGGTATTCATTTATCTATGTGAATATCGGTTTGATGACTCACGGATCATTCATCTAGCGTACTATATAATTGACGTCTTGTCGAAGCCGTTTTCCCTTCCGTCATCGTATCCCTTCAAAATCCCACGGAAAATCATCGGAACCCATCCGAAGTAATCTGCATCCCTGTTTTACCTGCGAATGTCCTCCTGTATTAGTATCCACGTATGCCTTGTCCTCCTATGTTGTCGCGGTTGTCATATACATGATGACGAATCTGGTCAATCACCCTGAATCACCGGGCAATTGGCTCATTCTCCGCGTAGCGACTGCTTTATCGGGACTCCTGCTCCAATCATATTTTCTCCGTTCCGAGGTTTTGTTACCCTCTCCGCTGCATTTTAAACGCCTGCTGTATTTCTTCCGATTCTGTGCTTCACGGCTTCTTTATTCACCTCTCTGTACTTCTTCATCAAGTCAAACCAACACACTGTACTAGCCATACACGCATGCACTTACCACTTTTTTATTCATTTTCTTTCAACATGCATTCAATTCTATCCGAGTACAACTTCCTCGTACTCTTTTGATAGATAACCAATGACTATTGCAGATTAGTCCTCTGTATCAATTTGTATTCTTGGGCTTGGCTTCCCTGTCACCTCGTTTGCTGCCATTAATACCCCTTTGCTCCGTTTCCTGCCAAATCGTTCAATCGCTTCATTCCCATTCGTTAGATACACGTTACGAAACGCTCCTTTTCTTAATGTTACGGCACTAGGTAGATTACACACGAAATGCAATATATACTATCGTAGTCATACATATGGAGAGTTCCAGTTGACGGGCGCTTGTTTACTTCCGTAATTGGTTTCTCGTCTCTATCGGAGAGAGCGGACGTATCTATGTTTGTTCACTTCTTTGATGTTTTATGTCCAAAATTAACGAACATGTGTAGACATTGTGACACAGGTTCCCTGAGATCGAAATAGTGGCTTTGATTATGGTAGTACAGGTTACATATGAGATTATGATTGCTACCTATTTTCTATACAGGAGTTTGTTACAGCAAGAAGATATACTAACTAAGAGATGAGTTATAAATTGTGATGGATGAGTGTATACTGACGCCATCGACACCACTTGGCAACACCGGACGATAATACTGTTACGTTACACAAACACCAGTACACCAGTACAAGTAACGGCAGGGACCCCGGAAAACTTTGAATGGAACGGTGAATTTGGGCCGTTCATCCAGAGAGAAGGTAGGTCGTGGTCCAGAGTTGTCTATCTATCCGAGTCCCGACTACCGATAAATGTATAGGCAGATCCCACCAGACGCATATACTTCCCCCTCTTGGACTAGGTTAAGAGCGGATGTAAGGCTATTGGAAAAGAAGTTAACGGGAGAAGGGATTGAGTATTGCATGCTGATCCGTCAATTACAAGGACATTGTAAGTGTGGTGTAGTCTATACATATTCAGGTCAGCCAGCACAGCATATGAGCGCGGCTGTTTGCGACAAGTCTAGACTGCAATTCGACAAGTCTAGGCTGCAATTCAACAAGTCTATCGTCGGTCTTGAGTTGGGCCGGTAGTACATTGTGTAGTAGTTAGCCTCGGAGTTGATCTCGGATATTATACCTCGCCCCGCGTGATCACTAATCAGCTGGAGGATCTTGGCGCACTGACACGCTCCCTTTTTGCCTGCTTAATCTTGTGGATCTCCTCCCGCTTCCCGAAGTCCGAATCATGCAGTTCCTAAAAAACAAACACGCAAAGAAAGAAAATTGGAGCAGAGAAGTCAGTCAGATGAACAGCTAGAAGATGATTGATGTAAGGGTAAACGACTCGCGGCTGGCTCTTGGCTTGGAAGTTTTTCTTTTCGAGCTGTGCAAAGACAATCAGGAACCGGGATCATGGTGTGCCGATTGGATACATTTGGAGTACATGTGGGATTGTGGGGTTGTGGAGTTGGTTGAATGGAGAGGACGCACCATGTTCGCAAGCCACTTAGCGGTGGAGACTGCATTCAACTTTTTCTGGCAGCCATCTCCCGCAGTTTCGTCTCTATAATCATAATATAATAATGAACGAAGAAAGAGAAGGGATGAGTAACGTGTGACGTTTGCAAAGGAACCTCATGCTTACTAATACGTTCCTCTATCCGAATCACACGTTGCTCATCCCGCTCCGTCACGAAGTTCACGGCGAGACCGGTCCGCCCGCGCCGTGCCGTTCGTCCGACACAATTGTGTGTATTCTTCTGGTTCTTGTGGCATGTCCCAGTTCACGAGCAGCGCGACGTCGTCGACGTCTAGTCCACGAGCGCCGACGTCTGTGCATACAAGTACCGGAACGACGCGTGCGCGGAATAATCCAAGTGCAGTAAGACGTGCACGCTGCGTGAGACGAGAGTGTAATGGGGTACTTCGGATTCCCAGTGTTTGTAGAAGCGTTGCAAGGTATGCAGCTGTCCGTGCCCGTGCACAAAATATTATTGTCGGTGGAGGTTGTTCTATTGCATCTGGGTCAACAGCCTTTCGGGTCTTGGAAGAAGACTTCGATTTAACTTTTTTTGAAGGCCTTTACGGGTTCTGGAGGTGCGCATCGCATATGGATGATACTCTCTGGAGGGCTGCAGAGGAGGTGGAATAGGTAGGGCTCTCGGACGTGCGATGGGACGAGAACGTAGAACTGTTCGAGCGTTTCTACGGTTTCAACCCTGCATCAAATTTCAAACGTCGATTTAGAGGCAAATGTAGGGAATAATCGAAGTCACGAACTTGGCAACCATCCGATGTATAAACGGCTTCTGTTTTCCTGGTCGAGGAGGAACCGCGATCAGAGTTTTTATGGATTCTGTCATTGTTGCTGTGAAAAGACAGGTCTGTCTCTCCCTCGGAAGAATATTGAATAAATACTCCAGTTCTGGAGCAAAGGTCGGATTAAGCAGTCGATCTGCCTCATCGAGCACCTGTCGGGCGATACAAACTTCAGGAGACATCCTCAACGACGAGTACTTGCAAGCTGACCTCACCAGGAATTTAACACGGGACAAATCCCATTCGCTGCTGGAGCTCTTCAGATGATAACGATTCGCCCGGGAGTTGCAACGACAACGTGTGGACGGTTGTTAAGCTCAAGTGCTTGGGTTATCATGTCCATTCCACCAACAATTATGGCTGTTTGGATGTTAAGGGGAGCACCAAGGACAGCAAATTGTTCGGAGATTTGGAATGCAAGCTCTCTAGACAAGGAACTGTCAGAGTTGACCTTTTTATCTTGGTAGAGGAGTCTTACCGTGTAGGCGTAAGAACTAGAGCATAGATTCCATAGGGATCAAGAGATAGTTTTTGTAGGACAGGTAGCGCAAATGCAATTGTTTTCCCTGAACCTGTCTGCACGTTACCAACACAATCCATGTCTTGATTTACTCGAAGAATGAGCCTTGATTATACATATAATACAAGTTGATTGCTTACCAGCTAATAACGGAGGAATACACACTACTTGCACTTCAGTCGGTGAACGAATCGACATGCTCGCAAGGGATGCCACGAGCGCCTTGGATGCTCCCAGATCTGCGAAGGATGCTATTGACTTCGATGCGGTGGATTTGGGTAATGTTGGTATTCGAGGTTTCGATTGTAGAGATATTCGAGATGAGTCCTTTGCGACTGGCCTGTTAGGTCGTCGTCTTCAACTTCGAGAACTTTCAGACTCTCGACCTCCGCATCATCAGAGGCGTCGCCAGACGTTCCATTAGCATGAGAGTAATCGGCCGAACCATCGCTATCAACTTCATTGCCATCAAATCAAGAGAACGACTCAGCATCTTCTTCGTCTGTTATTTCGGCCTGTAGCTTACGTCGTTTGCGTTGAGGCTCCGAGTCTTCGAGACGCCGTAGCAAATCATCCGTAGATATATCATCTTCCATTAACGCCTTGCTTTTCTTTGCCATGAACGGACCTAATGATGAGTGAGGAACGGGAGGATCTTCAAGAGACTTCGTAGGTGCCTGTTGTCAAGAGCCTTCCATTTTTGGAGATCGACAAAATTTTGACATGAACATCGATCGACACAGTGACAGAACACAACTTGCACCGAGTCACTCATCTCTTCCCTGCACTCAGACTACAGATAAAAATGCGGTTTACCCAATGCTAATGACCATCTATCTGGAAAGTAACTGAAGCTTCCTATTACTCTTAATCGACCTATCATGCCCATCGAATGAACATATTACTCAAGAACCTTAGTCCTCGAAACTTGTACACTTTCTTCAAGACAACTCCTCGACAATCTGTATCTCTAAGGCAGCCCACTATGTCTCCTTCGCCGACATTACAGGTCCTATACTGCGACCCATCTTCAATATCGTTCTCTTCATCCCTGGAGTCATCCGACCTGCCCAAAGTATCTTCGGAACGGATGCTTGATGCACTGAAGCACGCTGCGCACCGTTTAGTAGACCTTGAAGATGTCGTCGCGTTTCCGACAGAAACTGTGTACGGACTTGGCGCAAACGTGCTTTCATCAACTGCCGTATCGCGCATCTTCTCCACGAAAGGTCGACCGCCGGACAACCCGCTCATCATGCACATCTCTTCACTCCCGATGCTTCGCCGACTCCTTCCGCAAGATTATAAACTTCCACCCGTTTATCAGGCTCTGGTGAAGGCTTTCTGGCCCGGTCCACTAACTCTGCTGTTCCCGGCGGATCCCAAAATTGTTCCGTCGGCAGTAACTGCGGGTCACCCCAGCGTAGCAGTCCGCATGCCTTCACATCCCGTCGCTCGGGCAGTTGTGGCGTTGGCAGGAGTCCCACTCGCAGCGCCCAGTGCAAACGTTTCCGGAAAGCCGAGTGCAACGCGTGCAGAACATGTTATAAATGACCTGGGTGCTACCAGTCGACTTCGACTCGTACTGGATGGTGGAGCCTGTCCTATTGGAGTAGAAAGCACCGTTGTTAACGGACTCGGAGATGACGGGAATTTGCGTGTGTTGAGACCTGGTGGTGTCACTGTTGAAGACTTAGAACGTGTTGTAGAGAGTATGAATTTGCCGAGCTGGAAGCGACCAAAGGTCCTGGTTCACCGACGTGATTACGAGGATAAGGAGATGGAGAACGCACCTACTACCCCAGGGATGAAATATAGACATTATTCTCCATCTGTCCCAGTCGCACTACTTATGACCATCTCGAAACCTCCAAATTCCGACCTAACCATACCCTACTCTTCCGCACTCGCCTCTCTCATCGAATCACGACAAAATAATCACCACTCCGGTCCACTCAAAGTCGGCTTACTTGCGCCTTCGGATTCACCTCTCCTGCGGCACAAGCCTCATTCCGCAGATTGTTTCACGATCGAAAATTTCCTTCTTGGCTCGAGGTCGGACCCATCCGTGATGCTCGTTTTTGGCATAGGCGGATTTTAAACACAGGAGCTGTGACTGCTTATAGTCCAGTTTCATAAAGCACTATCGGTCTGGCGGTCATTTAGGCTAGTTGTGTTGTGCCACCTCACCCACCACCCACCACCTACCTCAAACCGACCACCACCGTTAGGAATCCGAAATGCAGGACTGCGACCTGTTCAACGCTCCTGGTGCAGATGTTGTGCTCCAGACATGCGATGGAGTCCGCTTTGACGTGTATCATCGAATACTAGCAGAGGCGTCTCTGTTCTTCAAGGATGTTCTCTTTACCACAGTCTGGGAAGGAAGAAGGTGGCACTGTACCTGTTGTTGAAGTTTCCGAGACGGCTGAAGTCATGGGCACGTTACTGAAGCTCGTGTACCCCGGAGTGGGCCCAGAAATAAAGACTCGACGAAGTTTCGATGGTATTGGGCGCCGCAATGAAGTACGATATGTTGAGAGCTGTTGAAACTCTACGTCGCCTCTTAATTTCGCCTTCCTTTGTTGAGAAAGAGCCGACACGCGTATACGCGATTGCATGTCGTTACGACCTCGAACCCGAAGCACGCGTCGCATCCTCTTATACACTTCGTATCAACGTACTCGACGGTCCACTCTCGGAAGATCTCTAATATATAACCGCATGGTCATACCACCGATTACTCGACCTTCACAGACGACGTGCAAATGCAGCGTTACGTGTACTTGAGTCTGCAGAACTTGAGGATGTGAAATGTATGCAGTGCAACCCAGCGCATTATGGTAGCTTGAGTCCGCCTCGTTGGTGGACGGAGTTTGTCGGAAAAGCGAAGGAGGAATTACGCGCAAGGCCGACGACGGATGTAGTATTTTCGATGGCGTTTCTCGCAGCATCAGGTCGGACGGGCTGTCAACGTTGTTCAGGATATTGGAGTCGTATGCGTTCCTTGAGGGGCTGAAGAAGCGCATTGACGAGCTTCCCGCGATGATTTAGACACATTCTTTTCGTTCTTGGGTCTAGTGTATGACATCGGCCATCTCGACGAACCTGCAATGATCGATTTCATGACTACACGATAGAACTTCTATCTTTCCCTTTAATATTGGTTTATGTAGCATCTGGTGCACTGTATTCGGATCGTTCCGCGGCCTTTTGTATAGTTTATCCAATAATAGAAGTTGTTTACCCATATTTTCCGACGACCCGCGTACCCAAGGCGGACATGTGCTTTAACTTATGTTCCATTCACCAAGTCCCGATGCACCGACATTCGTTCTTCGTCTCAACCACCATCATCCTTATCGAGTCTGAACGTACAGATTTTGAAGAAAGATGAACGCAGAGTTAGCTACGTTCAAGTCTCCTGCTGTCGAGAATGAGCCTATGGTAAGCATTTAGAATAAACTAGGATGGGTATTCTATGTCCGGATTAGAAGTTGCTGACTATCGATTATCGTAGAGGCACTATGCGCCTGGCTCTGAGGAGCGGCTCGGTCTTGAAGCAGCATTGAAACAAATACAGCAAGAACTTCCCTTTGAAGTGCCGTGCATAATCAACGGAAAGCCTGTGAGTAGTCATCAGCTTGCTGGCTGTATGCACCTCATTTCTCGCTATTTCGGGACGAAATATAATAGGTGAAAACAGGAAAGCTTGCAAAGCAACCCTTCCCAGTCTCACACGCCAAGCATCTCTGCGAATACCATGAGGAGGATGAGGCTACTGTTGCAGCCGCAATTGGGGGTGCGCTTGCTGCAAAGGCAGGATGGGAGTCGATGCCTTGGGCGGATCGTGCTGCGATTTTCTTGAAAGCAGCGGATTTGGTGTCGGGGAAATATAGATATAAGTTGATGGCTGCGACGATGCTTGGACAGGGGAAGACTGCATGGCAGGCGGAGATTGATGCCGCTGCTGAGGGTATGTTACCCGTACTGATATTTGTTCTTTAAAGATGGAGTGAGCTGATGCTTGTGGCGTTGGATGACAGTATAGCTTGCGGATTTCTTCCGGTTTGGAGTCAAGTATGTTGAGGAGCTGTATCAACAACAACCGATTAAGAACTCTAAGGGAGTTTGGAAGTGCGTATACTTGAAACTTCCTTGAATTCTCTGTTAACACTATCTTGACCTAATCTTACTGTCCAGTCGCGTTGAGTACCGGCCTTTGGAAGGCTTCGTTCTTGCCGTCTCGCCGTTCAACTTCACTGCTATTGGCGGAAACCTCGCCGGAGGTCCGTTCTCTTCTATTCCACTCATCCAAAGAAGTCTAACATTTGACTAACTAAATCGTACGAATCAACCATAGCCCCGACACTCGTTGGAAACGTCGTAGTCTGGAAACCCTCACCAATGGCGACTTATGCAAACTACCTCACCTATCAGATTCTCGTCGAAGCAGGCTTGCCACCTGGTGTCATCCAGTTCACACCCGGACCGCCACCCGAGGTCGTGAAGCAGTGCATATCACATCGTGACTTTGCTGCGCTACACTTTACGGGTAGCACGCATGTGTTCCGTAGCTTGTGGAAAGACATTGCGGCAAATTTGGATAAGTACAGGGGATATCCAAGGATTGTAGGTGAGACGGGTAAGTACTTTCCTATTAGATATTTTATTGGATTGAGCAAGGGAACGACTGACTGATTGGTGGAATTCATTCCTGTCCTTGATAATGTGATTGGGCTGATATAGGTGGGAAGAACTTCCATGTCGTACACGAGTCGGCGGACCTTACGAATGCCGTCGTGCAATCTGTCCGTGGCGCATTCGAGTACCAAGGTGAGCTCTATCAACACCCTATCCAACCTTTCTCTAACGTCACTCTTTACGGCATCTAGGCCAGAAATGTTCAGCTCTCTCCAGACTCTACGTGTCCTCCTCCCTCTGGTCCAATGGCTTCAAAGACAAGCTCCTGCAAGAAGTCGCGAAGATTAAAGTCGGTCCCGTCACGGACTTCTCGAACTTCATGGGCCCTGTCATGTGCGTATTCTTGTCTCTTCATTTCCGAAATTTCGTGTGGAGAAGCTGAATATATGCGTGTTTCATTGGTTCTGGACTTGGATATCTTGGATATGAAATCGTAGTGGACGGCCCGCATTTGATAAGATTACTGGATACATCCAGAAGGCGAAGGATGCCGGTGGGGAAATCCTCATCGGAGGGAGCGGTATGCCATCAATATTGAAGGAAGTCTGACAAACAACTGACATATAAATGATCTCTATTAGCCGACGATTATACGGGATACTTTATCCAGCCTACAGTTATTCTGAGCAAGGACTCCAAGTCCATCACGTTTGTTGAGGAGATATTTGGACCTGTACTATCTGTGAGTAGTTGTTCTAGTTCCTCCGTCACATTCAATGTTTCGTGATATATGTTTGGGTTTACTCGATATATGCATGATTTCATAGGTATACGTGTTCGATGATAAAGACTTCGACGCGAAGCTCGATCTCGTCGACTCCACAAGCCAATACGGTCTAACAGGTTCGATGTACGTCTCCATCCTTCTCTTCTTCTCTTTTCCCATCCTCATCCACGACATGTAATTCAATTACTTCACTCCATTAGCTTCGCCTCCGACCGCAGCGCACTCCTCCACGCATCAAACCGCCTGCGCAACGCAGCAGGTAACGTCTTCTACAACGAAAAATGCACAGGCGCAGTAGTAGGCCAACAACCCTTCGGCGGAGCACGGGCGAGTGGGACGAACAATAAGGCTGGGAGTATGGGCTTGTTTTATAGGTTTGTGAGTGCGAGGAGTGTCAAGGAGAATTTCGTAGGTCTTGAGGACTTTGGGTATCCGTCGAACTTGGCTTGAATGATTGAGAGTAAGAGTGGGGAGATGGTGTCTTGGAGGTGTAAGAGAAAAAGGGCATTTGTAAATAGGTGATCTGTCTATTTTGTACTCATGTTTTGGTAAATAAAAGGGTTCAGCATCCTAGTTTTAAATTGAGTTGGACTAGTAGATAGCTACACACTGTCTATTCATATTATTATCAGCAAATTTTGTTGAAAGGACGATTCACATTGATTTTTGGGGGGAAATTTCTGGCATGCAGACACCAAAATGGGCAAACCTTAGCTTTATGGTAATTGTCTGACATAATATTGTATTGAATGGCAGGTTTCCAGAGGCAATGAAGCTTCTCAAGAAGCAGGAGTAGTACGTGATTATACTCGTGAGAAATGCTATCAGTACATTGAGTGGTATCAAACAAATGCTTAAAAGATATAGCGAAACAAAAAAGGGGAAAGATAACGAAAACAAGTCTAACGGAAATCGACAGGTGGAACCCACTCAGGTATCTTACCCCACTCAAACCGCGGAGCAGCAAACGCTTCCTTCACAGATGTGGGTAACTTATCTGCGTAATCTCGTGGCAATAGCCCATCATGTTTGTCCTTTCCAGGCTCAGCCTTTATTGCAGCAAGCGCTGCAGCGAAATCCGGAGGACCGACTTTCGGTTTTGGTGGTAAACCAGCCGCAGCAAAACCACCACTTGCTCCAGCTCCAGCCCCGCCGAATGCAGATACGGGCTGTGAAGACTGACCAAAAGCAGATGAAGACGTCTGCCCAAAGGCTGATGGTTGGGACGTCTGATCGAATGCAGACGGTTGAGCAGTTTGTCCGGATGCGGAGGTCTGTCCAAACGCAGGAGCTTGAGCCGCCTTTCCAAATGCTGAGACAGGCTGTGAAGGTTGTGCGAAAGCGCTTGCCGTTTGTGACGGTTGTCCGAAGGCGGAGACTGGTTTCGCAGGAAGTCCGAATGCAGACGTTGGTTGGGTCGAACTCGCAGGGGCACCGAAAGCTGACGGTGCACTAGGAGTTCCGAAAGCAGATGTTGTTGGTACTGCAGCAGCATTGTTACCCGCGCCACCAAACGCTGATTGACCAAAAGCAGGAACTTGAGTTTGTTGCGGGCCAGCACCGAAGGCAGAAGTTCCACCGCCAGCGAATGCAGAGAATCCACCACCAGCACTGCTTCCGAAGCCAGTTGCAGGCTTTATAAAGGACGATTGCGGTTGTGAAGTCTGACCGAATCCCGACGTTGAAGCTTGTGCAGGTTGTCCGAATGCCGAAGTAGTCGGGGCTGGTTGTCCAAAAGCCGAAGTCGTTTGTGAAGGCTGACCGAACGCAGAGACAGGTTTTGACGGTTGGCCGAACGTGGATTGACCGAATGCTGGCTGGCCGAATGCAGATTGGCCAAAAGAAGGCTTCCCAAATGCAGATGCCGAAGTCGATGAGCCAAAGGCCGATGTGGGAGCAGAAGTTGAAGCACCAAATGCCGACGTTGCTCCAGATGGTCCACCTCCAAAAGCTGACCCACCACCGAACGCAGATGTCGTTGATTTGCCGAAAGCAGGACTAGCAGTATTCGACGGAGAATTGTACACGGTTCCAGCAGGGTTCGGAATGCCCCTTTGTTTTGCAATTGCTGATTTGTACGCGTGGTTGAATACCTGAGATATCTCAGACAATGCTTTGGCGTATGTTTGGTCTGCTTCCTGGATCTTCTCTGACTCGTATTTTTGCTAGACATGCAGCGTTAAACGCATTACGAGATTAGTCGTTTCCGTACTGTGACTCACATAATCAGCGATGTTTCCTGACTTCAACGCTTGGACAGCCTTCCAACGCAGCTCTTCTGGCGACTCATCGAGACCTGCAATAAGAGTTGGTTCGGACTTCGCAGAACCGAAGCTCGACAGTGGCCACAATGGCTTCTCAGCACCTGGAGTTATGTCCTTCGCTAGTCCTTCTTGACTTCGATTCATTGTGGATGAAGTAGTTGAGGTTAGCTTGAGTTTAGACACTGCGCAGTAGAACGCGAGCTACTTACGTGAATGGAACGATTACTGGTCCATTACCCGTATTAGGAGGGCCACCGGGCACTGGAAACATATAAAAACAAAAATAATTATCGTAAGTTGTTATACGACATAGATTTCGACGGAACTAACTTCCGAATCCTCCTGGTCGTTGAAGTGGGTGCTCATTCTTGCATGCGTTTCCAAATTTACATTGACCACGGAGATAGAATTGGCAAACAACCTTTCACGGAATTCAATAATCTGAAACAAGTTATAGTCCTCCACACATACCATGACCGAACCACAAGTTATGTATGAAGAAAGTAGGCATCAGCCGTGTAGGTCAAAGCTGTGGTGGCTGACCACTGTAATAGGTGCACGTGACTGAGAACTAGCACGTGACGAAAATAAAGGCACACAAAATTGAAAAATCGCTTGTACTGTCATTCTATCATTAAACCATATTATGCACTAGCAACGTGTATTATTGACATGACGTCCATCCAGTGATCCAATTTCCAAGAAAAGTTGCCACAGAACAAGAAATTACTCCTTCCCAGCATTCTCATTTTCGTCAAGCCGCGCATCCTTCACATCGGATCCTTCCACATCTCCTTCATATACATTGGAACCACTCTGGCACACAACATGTGTGCCGTCCAACGAACGATGTTCCGCGGCGAATGCAACAGCATCTCGCCGTCCCTTCTCTACATCAACTCCGAACCAAATTACCAGTCCCGCGGACAAGCAGAGTGCGAAGAGAAAGGGGAAGCCCATCCAGTTGTTTCCTGTGATAGAACACAGTGAACATCCATGAAAAATACAGTATGCAGAAGTACACAATAAAATAAATGTACCAGTTCGGTCGATTATAGCCTGAATGACGTTTGGTCCAATCATGCTTGATGCTCGATTAGATAGGCCAAAAAGGCCAAAGTACTAAAGTCACCATCAATATTTTGCCTGATGGTATCAATATAGAGAGAAGAAGAGAGTACCATATTATCAAATCCTGGAGGTGAGAGTTCGGCCATCATAGTCTGCGAGAAAGCATAGTACGGTGCTTGGAAGAGACCGAAGACAACATTGTACGCCCTAAGAACAATTGGTTTAAATCTGCCTTGTCTAAATACAGCGTGAAAGGAATGGTCTTACCAAAACTCCCAAACGTTGTGAAAACCGAACTTTTCTGTCCAGATACCAATCATTCCCCATAACGGGATGAAGACAGTGACGACATTCGTAACAACAAACTATAGGATATTTCAATAAGTAAATGTTACTTATGCTCGTTCACGTCGACCTACCATTGGCTTTGTTCGAATCTTCCAGTACTTCTGGATATACCAAAATCCGAGTGTACTAAATATATTGGAAGCTTGATTGAGTGAATGGGTCGGATAAATATATTGGATACAAACCTAAGAGTCGACGTAATTGCCTGGGCTAGTCCAAGGTACGTTTGCTCTAGAAATGAGAACGAGAATTTGTCGTTCTGGCAAATAGACACGAGTGTCCCCGTTGTATTGAGTCCCTAGAAAGATCAACAATTAAAATATGATTAAACGATGTGATTACGCAGTAACAAAGAAGTTGAACCAACATCAGCAAGAAGGAAAAATGCAACCAGGTAGATAAAAGTATGAGGAAGTTTCTTATAATGTGTAAGGGCTTCCCATATCTTTAAAATATATCAGTTGATTCCGCGGTCTCGAAATGATTTGCTAGTGATGACTGACCTGTTTCCAACCAACAGTCAGATAACTCTCGCTCTTCGGAAGAGGTGGACCGGGTCTCGGCTCCTGATAAATAACTTGAAACAGAATATTTAATTTGAGAAATTATCAAGCGACCTGGAGAACATAGAAAACATACACCACCAAATTCCGAGGAGTACCCAGTATGCATTCGTAAGTACAATGACATAGTTGTTGACTTTAGGATTGTTCGCAAGTGGTAAAAGAAGCGACAAATTAAGGCAAAGCGTAGCAATGTATCCAATGTTACTGTGCATCTATACATTTCACAATGTCAGTCAACAAGAAGGACATGGTTATCGAGAAAATGACAGACCGTGCTGATATTACTGATTCTGTTCTTCTCAAGACTTTCTTCCCTTTCGTACTCCTCGGCAGTGATTGCACCATTTTCAAGCATATCTCGGAGTTTGCGAGAATGCGATGTGTTCCTTGCAAGTCGTGGGAATAACGCAGCGTAGAAAACGAGTGTTGCCCCATAAGAAATGAAACCGACCATGAAGAGGGCCATTGAAGCTTGCCAGCGATCCGGTGCTATGAGGGTTGGGACATGTAAGCTTGTGATCAGATGTTTGAAAATCATGGATGACTTGCATGTTAGGCTCATACTCGCGAACTGGGCAGCCCAGCAGATAACTGTTACTGTAAAAAATAACCATCGGCCAAAGTTACCATAGTCCGCAGCAGAGCCGATTGTAGTGAAAATGAGCGTCATGACCTAAAATTAGACTTTAATGATTAAGGTATAATTTAGACGCGATAAATGCCCACAGCGAAACTTAGACCGTTAGCTATCAGGACTACCGAGCTGACAGACTTCGTTCCTTTGCCCCACGGAAGGACACATTGACCAGATGAATTCGCATCAGTGCATGAGCTGCCTACTCCGCGTACGGGATCATGGCCAGCCTCAGTGGCCCATTGTTGGAACAATGTCATCGAGTATCCTATATAGCCCGCATATCATATTAGCAGTTCGTCAGAGGTAAAATAGGACATAACAACTGACCATTTGGACCAACACCCTGAACATGCAGATCATTAATTCAATAAGTGCTAATCAGTCTTGAACGGGCTTGGCATACGTTATCTCCATTGTAATACACTAGGTAACCACACTATCAGACACTTCGAACAAAGTATTCGAGGAAAAGGAACATAACGCACAGTAGTAACTCCAAAGTTCCCTACGTGTAACGACTGGTTCTTCCTTATTTACGGGCGCTATCGGAGGTGGTGTTGATCCCACATTACGAAGAACCTCGTTCACCATAGCACCTGCTTCTTTATCTACACCCAAACTAGGAACCAAACTCTCAGGAGCAGGTTGCTTTTCCATCACGACAGTGTCGACAAACGCGAAGGTAGAAGAAAGGAAGTACGGAGGCGAAGGTGGCCCATTATTCAAAGCTGGAATGTACTCCTATATAAAGCTTTGTAGGAATCCAAAAGGGATCCCGTGTTCAGCTGGAGCATGTGTTGCGGCGTGTCACTGTTATCGCGCTCACCAGCTTCTCAATTTCATAACCGAAAAATTGCTATTGCCGGTGATCCGGACTTCATATTTGGAGATATTCTCCCCATATAGAGCAGTAAAACCCAAATACGGAGCCGTCGGTAACCGCTAACGGGACTTCTTCAATTTATTGAAATTATTTTAACTTCGCGCAACCCATATTTTGATGTTATTTTGCAGAGCCGGACTCAGGTATAGGAAATAGAACACGTTCAAACATATTATCCAATTAATATACAAACACTTCAGAACACAATTTCACACACACAGGCAATACAAAACGAATCTCAACTAATCAGAACCTTGACAATGGACGAGTATCCTAACCGAAGTAAAGGCAGCTCTCCATAGTGATGTCCTCCTTATATTGACGTGACTTATCATCGGCATTAGAGGCTGATATCGACGGGAACGCAGCCGATAGAGATGAGATCACCTGCAATGAGAGACGAAGTCAATAAATTACACATTCGGATTTGTATGATTGAAGTTCTAGTATACCATGACTGTTATCCTCGCAGCAGACGGGGTGCGCATTGCTGGAAGGGAAAAACGTTAGCATGAGGTTGCGACTATTGGTAAACCACAGTATAGAACATACCACGAGGTGCCGCCAGTACCAATAACAGTAATCGGGGTGCAAGTCAGACCGACAAGAACGTCAAGGTCCTGGACGACGATGCCAAGCAGGCCAAGTATACCCGCCGCTGCAGAATCGCCCGCCGTCGTGACGGTATTGCAGCACTGAATCGGACCGGTGTTGCACTGACTAGCAGGCTCAGTCGCCGTCGCCGTCGCGGTGACAGTGACCGTCGTAGTCGGAGGAATCTTCGTCGGAGAGCCCCCGTTGGGCATGGGTGTGGCAGCCGCAAGGAGTGCAAGCGAGACGAAGGAGGCGAACTTGGTGAACAACATTGTTACAGAGTAAAGATACTTGAGAAGCTCGAGAGACGAGTTAGTAGTCAAAGAACTTGTGAGCTGAGTGACTGAAGAAAAGTACGTCGAAAAGCCCGAGCTTTTATAACTTTCAGGGACTCCGAGGAAAATGCCCATAAAACAACAGAAAACATTGGCCTTCGGTGCTTTCGGCACTCCAACATTCCTTTCACCAGTACGACGTCGAACCAACGCGAAAGCGGAAAATACTAGCAAGCCACAACGTCATTTAATGAGATGATTCGCAAATCCCGAAGGGAAAGCGAACCAGAATCTTCCAATGGGATGTTGAGAACTAGTATTGTGACCAGATTTACGACAAATGTTTGATGCTACTGAACCTGACAAGATCTTCAACATTGGCAAAGCATAGATTCTATTCGCTGCTTGGATTTCGACCCTGTCTGCTAGGCGAACTCGCCGCTGATTCCCGCGAACCATTTGATTGTTGACTTCGAAGCTAGGCACGAAGCCAAAACGCTTGAGTAATAGGAGTGAATGGATTTAATTATGTCGGTGCTAGCACTTATCGGAACGGGAACTCACCGACGGAAAAGCGCTCGTAGTTCTTTGTGCATACCTGATAAAGAGATGATACGGTTGTGAAATACTGTTCCTTGACAATGTTGAGGTAGCTAACTTTTTACCAAGTCACTGCACTTCTGCACACTACCTCAGATCAATCGCAACACTCCAATAAGATGGTCGATAAATGAGTCAGTCCTATGGGAGAAATTTTTTTAGAAAGTCCGAGGATGACGTAGGAGCGGGAAGAAATGTATTCTCGTTTTCAAGACAGAACCGAACGTCAAAGATTTCTTGTTTCGCAACCCCAAACGGTGAGAGTGTCCATCCAATAGGAGAGACATCTGTGAACCTTGAACAACGTACAAGCTCCGAAAGTGTGGCAAGGATTGTTCCGACAACTGAGATGTAGATGTCATCAGTTAGAAAAGTTACGGTGCTGTAAGATGGTGCCTCGGAAGTTGCCTCAGAAACAAAGCCGTGGCCTGTAATGATGCATAAAACATAACGTACCAGCTGAAAAAAGTTGAACCGTAGTCATTTGTCTGTCTTTGGATCGGGAAGCATGACTTTCGAGGAGTCAACAGAATAGAAATTCGGTGGCGAGACATCAAGCCAGGAACAGACCACATAGCACCACATATGAATTTTGCACACTTCCATAATCATGGGACTGAGAAGCTCTCAAAGGCTTGATACGAAGATGCGATTGGCTATACGCAAATATCCGTCCAATGGCAAACGAGCCAAAAGTTCCTAGCCAATCCCGACCTTGACTACACCAAAGGTTGTAGAGAATTCTAGAAAGCTTCCGAGATTTGCCAACTTTAGTATGCAAATCAGAAAGTCGAGGTCTACCGATCTGAGCGCTGCTCAGAGTACTCAAAGCTTTGCTTTTGAGAGTGTGCCAGTGTGGTGGTGGTCCTTTATTAAAAGGTATTCAAATAGAGGAGGGCCCTTAAGCAGCGGTCGGAACGCATCTCCCACGTGATCCGCTGATCCCAATAAAACAAGTCACCTGCCAATTTCGGTATCTATTCATATGCGCAGTGGTCTGAAGCAAACGTGTTCTGCAGCAACATTGACTTAACATCACGATCATTAACGCACAAGCTATCTGTGTGTACGCAATGCCAATCTTTCTTGTGTTAGATGATACTCTGCTTTGAATGCCACGTTCGACATTTGTCGGGGTCCGCTGCCTTGAGAACCAGGCGCGTAACCGGATCGGCTCGTCGGTTCGGTCGAGGGGATGGCAGGTGCAGTTCACGAATCAAACTAGGAGGGATGGGTTGATGAATGCATATTATGGGAGCACTTTGTGAGCTACTTGATGGTATACAACGATCTTGTTTCATCTTAAGTTGTGTAGGCTTCTGCTTCGTGGACCGAAGAAATCACAGTTCGCGGAAGGGTTTGGACTGAGGGTTAAGGGATCAGATGGACTGCGGGTCAGGACTCGGTATGAAAATACGAACTATAGATCTCTTTAAACTACGTATGATTGACTTATGTTCGCAGGTCTTCTGTGTTGAAGACACTTCAAATTCAAACGGGTCCCATTTTGTATCAACCATCTGCTTATCTCATCAGCGCTCCTGTGTTTATTGCACCCATTATCGCCTTCTTGAAGTCGAGCATTGTATTTAAAGCTACTGGCGCTGTAGTCACCTTTGTGAAGAGCACTTTCGTAGCGAAGATCTTTGCCTCTGCTGTTGCGTATCTCAAATCCGGAACAGTCTTCAAGGCTATCACCGCGATCGGGCGCATCTCATTCGCGATCATCGCATCTCTTCGCCTACAAGGAAGGCGTATCTTGAAGTGGTGGCATGGTCCAGAACAATACGAAAGGATTCGAGCTGAACAGAAAGCTTCCGGCAAAAAGAAACACAGTTGGCATTTTCGTCGGACGACAATTGTCTGTATCGCAACACCCATAGCTTGTCTTGTCATTGCTACTCTAGCGTCTCTTGAACGAACACCAGTATGGGGTCGCTGGCGGGTCATAATGATGAGTTCGGACGAAGAAGCCCGTCTCGTGGAAGAGTTTCTACGCCCAGGGTCTGTACCTGGTGCCCATCTTGATACGACCACAGCACGCGATTGGCTCGCAATCCTTCGCGCGGCCTGCGGGGAAGAAGCTGGTCCTCCGGGTACACTCATGGGAATGTCCGTGCTGGATCCAAATGTCGACTGGCGTGCACGATGGGTGATGAATACATTCGCACGACTCGAAGACGGCGTAAGGCATGTGAACCTTACATCTGAAGATGTAAACGAGGGGTGCAACGTGGTCAACTTTGGCTCAACACGGTTTGCTATTCCCCCGGTTGAATACCCATTGACTATCCGTCCCGCAGCATTAAAGCACCACGGTCGCTCAGAAGACGAACATGTGGAAGGTCCGCTCGTCACGCGATACGGACTCTTGGTCATTGATTCGCCCGTTTGTAATGCTTTCAGTCTTGGGTTCGGTCCGGCATTGCAATCTGAATCAAGAAAAGACGAAGAGGCGCCCGGTGTTGTGGTTGTCTTTACTGGGTTGCTGGACGAAATACTCGGGAGACCCGAGAATACTTCTGCACCGGAGAAACCAGCTGCTTCCTCTGCGTCCAGTGCACTATTCGGGGTTTTCCAACAGGCAGTAGTCTCTTCCCCACAGAACCCGAACCTACCCGCACCGCCGACGAAGCATGACACCGAACAATTGGCGTCAGTCCTTGCTCACGAGTTGGGACACCTCCTATTGTCTCATTCACTCGAAACACGCGCCTCAAATGATATGTACGAGCGCCTTGGAATTTTCTTTACGGATTGTAAGTAAATCATAATATTTTTGTCCTGATTCGGTTTCGTTGATGATGTATCTGCATCGCCAGTGATACGAACCGCGGTCTACCCGCTCACCGCTATCTTCGGCCCAGCTTTCAACGACTGGTTTGGTGAACTTATCCGCGTCAACTCCGCACTTGGACTTCGCGTGACGAGTAGCTGCGCTTCCCGCGCTGCAGAGTTCGAAGCAGATCTCGTAGGTTTGCGCATCCTTCTTGGCGCGGGTATAGATCCGCGTATTGCTTTGAGCAAATGGGGTGTTGACGGATTGTTCGACCGTATTGAACACCGCCCCGATGTAAGCGCAGCCAAGCCGGGAGACAGCGAAGAGTCGTGGTTAGAGCGGAATGGTTTTGCTCGAAGTCATCCGATGAATGGAGAGCGTCATCAACGTATCCTGGAGGAACTCGAGAAATGGGAGGAGCTTGCGCGGAAGAAACCTTCTGATAAAACTACAGCGGAGAAGATCGTTAATGATGTCGCTCCACAGATCCCTATTTCTAAGGCAGCTCGACAGGTTACTGGCACAGTGTAGTCTGGCCATGGTTATGCTGGGTTTGCTTTCTACCTTTCCTGGTAACCCCGCTTAGTAACTTATTTTGGATATCAATGTCTCATAGTCATTGTACTATTACTGCCCTGCTAATCCCCACTCACAATAAAAGGCATTAAGACACTTACTCTAAACTTCCTGACAGAATTTCATTGTGTAATTAGGTATCTACTATACACTGTGTTTTCAAACGAAAACGAGAACGAACAGAATCATAAATCTAAACCGCGTGCTCCGTTTGCAAATTACACCCTATCATCCAGCAAAACCGCACGTACTGCGGATCCCATGATTCTCGAGAATCGCGATTACAGGCATCAGACGTGCCAATGCCATAAATCAGCCCTCGGTGAATCTGGGTTCTCTGCAGCGGCGCGGCGGCGTTAGAACGCCAGGCAAGTAGCTGTCTAGGATATGCTTGGTTTCGTCATTGCACGACAATAGGCACGGTGTGTGAAGCGAATATGGGAGGATGAAACGGTGGGATAGTGAGAGAAGGAAGGAAAGTTGACAAGTGGCGTCGTGTTGCATGTGGATGAAAGCATGTCTGAGGTCAAAGCAAAGATAAGAAATAAGACGGTGAACCACAGTGTAGTAGAGAGGATAACGAGATGAACTGAAGCGTATCTGAGGTCAAGGTAAAGACATGAAACAAGACGATAAACCACAGTACAGCAGCGAGAAAAGTGAGTTGAAACCCAAGGAACAGGAGAGTATCCCCAATATAATCGACATACAGTACCAGTGAATACAATACAAGTGCTCAAAAAGTGTATGTAATGAGACTCTATCAAGAGGAACTCAATCGTACAGAGTTCGTGGAAAGAAAACGTCCACCTACAATGAGACAGATTAAATTTCATCCTCAAAAGGCATCTCTTCCTTCCGAGCGAATGTATAAAATAGACGTTCAAACAACTCCGCGTTTGATTCATAGAGCTCCGCGCGAGCAGCGGTGATAAATTGATCGATCTCCTCCTGCGTCTTTCCCGCGCGGTACCAGAGCGGGTGAGTGGCAATCAGTGCAGACATGATGTTTTCCCGCGCCATTGTGCCGATCTCCTTTTGAAGTTCGTCCTCTTCCCAGTCTCCAACAGGGCAGCTTGTCACTGTGTCTTCTACCTGGGAAAAGCCGCCCATCTCGCGTAGCCAAGTACCAGTCATGTTCATATCCCTCAAGTCAATGCCTTGAGCGTAGAGACCCTCGCACATACGGGCAGTGTATTCCCATATAGAAGGGATAACATTGTAAGGATCGGAGCCGTCTACGGGAAAGTGGTTAATCCTATTAGCTTCGCTTCTCGGGATTACATACCTCGGAGCCAGACTGCCATTTCCATATCAATTATTATCAGTATCCCTCCTGGTTTGAGCAACCGTCGCATTTCCCGGAGCCAGCCTTTGAAATCGCGGCTCTTGTTTAGTTAAAAGTTAGTCGCTTATAAAAATAGGAGCTAACTAGGACATACAAATTTAAATGTCCCAAACATATGTATCATGTCGTAAGACTCGTCTCTGCCGTGGAATCCATCGTGAAGGTTATAGACCTCAAGTTGGATATTCGGGCTATGAGGGTGCCTTGTTGGGACAAGGTTGCACCCAGTGAATTTGACGTGTGGGTACTCCTTTGCCATTTCGTCAATCCTGCGCGGGTTGAGCGCTTTGAATGTACCAATCCCAAGCACAAGCTTACCAAGGAGAATTGCTGATGACGTCCAGAACGCGAATACTCGCTTCATATGGGGGATTTAGAAGCTCGTGGATCTCTTCGAAATGATTGTCGCCCACGACAAGCTTCACGAGGTTGTATTGACCTGACAGACGCCGCATTTCTGCAGAATCAACCGGTAGCACGGTGGGAGCGTCCGGCTTCAACGACTCATCAGTTTCATGTCAAGAAAAGAGTCCAGGGCAGCTACTGACCAGGTTTGGAAACATTCTTCCTCCTTCTTCACGATAATAGCCTGCGAAATAGTTAATCTGCCCAATACAGCCCGGCGCGGCTACAATTCACGCTTACCGACGGAATCGGTGCTGGTCACACTGGTCATTGAGGATGCCTCAGAAAATGGGGATAATTCTCTTCTGAATTCTGCATCTCCAGCATCGAGTGGTGGAGTTGAAGGGGGAGACATGGGGAGCTCCATTGGATTCGGACCATATCGGGCGAATTCCATATCGTATTCGGGTTCCATGTCTGCATAGTTGATTTGGCCATATTCCGCGTCCATTGCGGGGCAAGGGGGAGCAGACAGTCAGGGAGAGACACGAGATGCACGGTAGACGGTCGATCGACTACTGCGGGGAATTCTTATAATGTCGAGTGAGAGGGGCGGGAAGGCGGATGTTCGTGAAGTAAGATTTGCAGCTGACGTCTCACGAGAAGACTGCTGCCCAGAAACACTGGCCACGTTGAAGGAGAAACGTGCCGGGCTCGGTAGAGGCGTCAGAGGCCGAGCGTCGATGGTGATGGTAGTTGCTCCCGACCGCGGTGCCATCCAGCTCGCGTGCACATCAATGTCCAGCACCCACCGTTCGTCGTCGCACGCTCATCTGTCGAACAGGCACTTGTCAGGTATCATTACATCGCATACTCACAGCGTGAGCCTATTTCGGGACAGTCACGTGAACACGACGATCAGGCGCCGATCGCACAAACTGGGATGTGCTCATACCGCCGGTTGTCATAATCATCCGTATTCCTCTAAGAAATTCCTGCATCATCTCGTACTCCCTGGAACCTTGCGGTGCTATTCTTGCTATACATCACCTGGTCTCGGCATGAGTTGGTCCTCTGAACTTTATGCAAGAAGAATTGGATAAGCGGATGTAAACTACCCTAACGCCCCGCCTTCACCGCGTCAACACTGCTAAGTATTCTGGATCTTGGTGCTTTGACTTCCCTGTCAGCAAGGCCTGATGGTGGTCAGTCTCATGGCCTTATTAATGCTTGATGTCCGCATTATCGAATCAGGGGAACTAAGAATAAAGTTCACTAAATATGCTTTCGCCTATTCGACTGTCAGACACGCTACTTATCTTCGATCAAAGGGGTTCGGCCCGGATATGGACTCAGATTTAAGAAGAAAAATCCATTTTATGGACACTGCCCGACGAAGGCGAGCGAACAAAGAAGAAGATGCCATACCTATGATGACGTCCACTATCCAGATAATTTCAACACACGTCATCGAGTTATACAAGGACTTGGAAGAAGACTACTCGTTTCCTTTACTCCCTCGAGAAACGCACACCCAAAAGCTCGTTCAGGCCGACGAGCCGCTTCCGAAACACCCGGTCTCAGCATCGCTTTCGGAATTGCCGCGCGAGCGATGATCCAGGTGAAAACGGCGTGTCGGCTGGCCCGGCCTGAAGTCGCAATCGAATGTACCGGGTTTTTGAGGAATATTCGTGAGTAGGTGAGGAGAACTCCCAAAGCTGAAGGAGACGGAGGAAGGAGAGAGGGGCTGAGCAGGGGGAAGGGGGTGGCTGAGTAATAAGTCAAAAGACGGATAGGTACCTTGCCACTAATTCATACCTTGACATGAACTTAGCTCCCCCCTCTCTGCTGAGCGACAGTTGCAAAGGGTCGTGCAAAGTGTCCCCTCCCCTTTATACCTTTCATATTTAAGGTTTCCTAATTGCTCGGCTTCTTTCCATGCTTCCAGCTGATATTCCATTAGCAGACCCTCAAGCGCCTCGAGGAAGTCCGAACCGCGGCCGTGGCGTTTTCCGTAATTATTGACGTGCGATTGTCGAGATACTCACTTCAGCAATAGCATATAGACCATGCGGGGAAGTATTTGTTAGGCTTTCATCGCATTTTAGGGTACTAGCTCGGAGAAGTCAAGAAGCAGCCTTCCTTTCCCGGCTAACGAAGTCTTTTTTTATAACATTTTTCTCTCATTTGGAGGTGGTTCGTCAATACCGGTCAATGTCATAGCCTGCGGTATCATGCGCCTGCTCGACTCATCTTTCCGCAGCAGTCAAGCTGAGTCATTTCTTCTATATGACGACTCCTTTCTCCGTCTATTGACCGTTCACAGCGGATGCATTAAATGAATGGGAGGCAACCAAAATGTGGAGCGGTCTTATGTGCCACCATGAAGTCTTGTGGCTCGCCTTGAGGACGTCGGAACTCACCTCTTTCTCCGGAGATATGGATAGTATCAATACTATGGTAGTGTCATACAAAACGCCTTTGTCTACAGCCCGATCATTGATTTCTATTCATTAATTTTGACGGTTCCAAGCGAGAAGGCGTCTGTTGACTTTGATCAACTCAAATTGAAGCGTATCAATTCATAGGACGCTTCACGAGCCATCTGTTTGGTAGTCAGGTGGGTCCAACTTCGTGGAAGCTTATGTCTTGAAGGCGTTCAAGCAACTTTAAGACTCGGATAGTTCCATGAAATGTATTGGGTCCCGGAGATAAGTTGGTCGAGTCCAGAGTGGTCAGCGTAGTTTTCTGCATTTACACCTCAACCGAGCTCTCCGCCGACGTTACTTCGCGTAAGGTGATAACACGTTAATTTTGATTTCATCAGGCGCTCTTGCCTGGTCGTTGATAGCCTATTTTTATGCTTCGGAGCTCTGCCGAGTTCCATGCAGAAGTACGTGTCGAGACAACAGACAGCAAGTTGTAGACTTCCATACAGAATTTTACGCTCTTGCATTTGGAGGCAGCACGGCTCCTTAGTAAAGCTGTAGCAAAGGCGAGTGCTCTATGAATATCCACGCCAATACATCACTAGCCTTATCACAAATATTCAGGGCGGTAGTGGGGTGGGCATTTTCAAACAGACGCTTCCAACCTGAAAGGTATGCACTTACAGGGAATTTTCTTTTCCCCCAAACGAAAGTGTCCTCAAGGAAACATCGTCCAATCCTCGTTGACAACCTCACCGCGTTCCTTTCTTCCCCTGCCGAACCCGAGAGCTTCCGAATGCATCTCGAAGCTCTCTCTGCTTCCACGACTGGACCGGCTTCAGAAATATTCATGATTCCGGCGCCCTCGCATTCCTGTGTTCTTCCCCTACTTTACAAACACCGGTGTAAGCATGTCAGTGGCGCACATCCTCATACGTACGAATACAAACTATCTTACATGCTGCTACATGCGGTATCACCGTTCACATCCCAGAAGGTTGAATGAATAAAAATTTCAGGGGTCTAAACTGTCTAATACCCAGTTTTTTTGGAAAGTTTTTTGTCGACAGACTTCTTTTTTGAGTGTGGACACTCTCACGCCGTGTCTTCTCTGCCAACGACTTTTGAAATGTTTCGCGCGGTGCTAACGGGTCGCTTTGATGTGGCTAAGCAGTCGCTTCGTTCCCTGCAACTTTTTAGGGGTTTATAAGTCACTACTGAAATATCCTATAGACCTATTGTATAACGGCGTTGTTCCGCCGGAAGGGATATCAATAGTGAGTAAGATATATCAAGAAGCCCGAAAGAGTGAGCCAAGAAGATAAGGAAGGAGTGGAAGACAATATAACTAAGTGGAGCATAAATTTCTGCGAGGAGAGAGATAAGGATTGTGTCGTGTGCCATTTCAATGAGTGTTAGAAGAGACGGAGATGAGAGGTAAGGATTGTGGTCTGACAAGGACGGGGGGACGGCCAGAAAGTTGGTCGCTTACATGTGTGAAGGTTAGAGAAGTCAGAAATCATTTTTTTATTGGAGGAAACGCCAAAACTGGAAAGTCATGACGCTTGGACATCATAGCTCGGGAAAGAGAAGCAAAACAAGCTTCACGAAGGGACCCAGAGCGGATAATCCTAAGGGAAGCGAAGATGGTTACGAACGCCGACGTGATGAGCGTCCTAATCCAGAAATAATCGGAGAGACGAAAGATGCGAGGGGAGTTGAGGAGAGGCCGTTAGTATCGTGGCATGCTTGCGCGCTACAAGCCTATGTAGGCTGGGCCGCAGTAGAGGCAGTCGACTTCCGTTTCGCCTTTTTGCGCTTTGGCTTGTCATCGTCCTCATCGAAGTCACTTGATTCCACTTCACCCTTGGGCGGGACGTACTTGCCATCAGCGCCCGCGCCTGTACTCTTTCGCGGTTTCCGCGGCTTTTTGGGCTTTGGCTTTGACTCGCTTTCAGGGACGGCCATGTCCACATCCCCACCCTCCGTAGCGATAGGAGGACTCCCTGCAGGTAAGCCAGAATCCGACACGCCTAGGTCCAATTTTGCAACGGATTTGGGCTTCATGCTTTCTGCCTTACTTTTCGGCCTCGGCTTTGAGGTCGACGGGGATGCCAACACGCCACCCCGACCTTCCGAGCCTCCGTCACCTGCGGCATCCACTTCCATAGCTTCACTTTTACGCTTGCGACCTTTCGAAGCCTTCTTCTTCGCTCTGACACTCCCGGTTTCGTCGGTTTCGCTTCCTTCTGCCAGCGCTTTAGCCTCACGCACAAGTTCTCGTTCATCATAGTCCTCTTCTTCGTCACTTGCTTCTCGGAGGTTCTTCCTTGCTGCCGCACGCTGACTTCGACCACGCTCCGAGCCCGCGGCGCTCTCACCAGTAATGAAGCAACGCATACGCTTGCATGATACTAGTTTGTCGTCGTGAATAGTCGAGTCCGCTCGAAAGCGCGCTCTTTTGATATCTGTAGTATGGTATCCCTCAAAGCACCATCCGTCCGGTGGGCCTTGGTCTCCATCACCCTACATGATCGAAATTCTCTCAGCTTCCATATTCAGGACAATTCTTATAAGTTACTCGACGCATACCTCGACTACTTTGTTGCAACAGCCCCATAGGGTCTCGTACGTACTGCCGACAACGCCAGCAATTTTGCTTTTTGAGTTGCCGACGTACTCGACTTCTGCGCTTTCATCATCATGAGGTACAAGGCAGCTACGATCGGTATTCTCGACCTCGGTATAGTCTTTATGGCACCGTACGCAGTGAACCCTTGGGGGAGGAACCAAAGTCGCAAAGAATGTCATAAGTGCTTCGCTCACTTCCAGAGGTGTATGTGGTAAATGTGCCACGACATAAGAGTGCAAAGTCTTTGGTGGCACCTTCTTGACGCGTGCAAGTAGTTCAGCAGGACTTGTAGGAGGTGCGACTTGCTCTCGAGTAAGGATATCGGTAACAATTTGACCAGTGGTCTTCTGATCTAGTGAAGAGGTCCGAGAGCGCTTCACTCCTCTTGCTTCTCCAGCAAGCCCAACCTCAGGGGACTGGGGAGGAGCTGTGCCAACTGAAATTGAAGCCGTCGGCGATGGAGTGCGTAATTGCGTCTGTTGAAGAGCACTGCCTAAGGCAGAAGTATTTGGCTCTGAATTCCCCTTGCTCCTTCCAAAGAGTTTGTCAAAGACCATCTTTTGATGATGGCAGAACTGGCAAGGCCAAAATGCCCTTTGACTCTACAGGTCGAAGGTTACCGCGTCGTCGTCGTCGAAATGATGGAGTCAATGCCGATGCGTGATCGTGTGTCCATGACGTTACGCGAGACTCACGAGCACGTGATTAAAGTCACGTCACTACCACGCGTTCATAAAGACGCCCGACTGCGCCTTGCGCCTTTGTCTGGACCACCACTATTATCTGACGAGTCTCACCGATTAGACTCTTAATCTCACGTCCAATCTTTACTTTGTGTAGTACTTTACTCGTTACGCCTTTGAGTTTTATTTCATTTCCCTACTTTCTTTTCTTACGCGCATATACTCGCTGAGAGGGATGGCGGAGAAACAACCAGAGATTAAAGTAAACGACAGAGGCGCAGAGCTGGATCCAAACGGGATACCCTACTATAAGTGGCCGCCATTCCCTGAGCCTCCTACCGGGGTGACCATCATTCCATTCAAGGACTTCAAACCGTCCGGAATAAAACTTCCCCTAAATGACGACATCGAAGTAGATAGTTTGGGAATTCCAACAGTTCGCCTACCAGTTACACATGACAACGAAGGCGTTCCGAAAAAAAAGAGAAAAATTAAGAAGACTACCAGTGGCAAAGAAGTGCTGCGAAGAAACGTGTGGTGGGAAGAGGTAATTATTGCCTGCTCCAGTCCTGCTGTACCTATTATATTAACTTGTGTAACCATTTATCAGTGGGAAGAAGGCGAGGCGCAGAGGATTCGAAGTGCTAAAATTTACGACCAGTGAGATTCCTTTAATTGACATTTATACCGTTGTCAGTGCTCAAGTTACATTGCCAGGATGTCCCATCCAAAGGCTCGTTTATCTCGTGCAGTCGAGGAGTTTAAACAGGTCCATGACTGGGAGCCAATTTCGCTGCGTCTTTACGAATGGTATTTCAAAGTGAGTCTTGTGCACACAGGTTATATACATATGCTTACGTATTCTTATCTAGTTCATGTATTTCGTTGGTCTTAACGATTTCAGTATTCGCCCAAAATACCGCAGAATGCAAAATAAAAATCAGGATGACGAGGGGAGCGACGATGATGTTCCTTCGAAGCCATTCGAAGGTTCAGAGTCTCAGCCAGTCAAGATTGAATCATTCGATGACAGGAAACATAAATTGGGAGAAAGATCAACGCCCTTGGATCCCGACGAGCGTCTACAGCAAAGGATTGAACGTGTCAGAGAGCTACAAGAGTGTCGGGTTGAAGCTTTTATAGAAAACCCTCATCTAGCTACTAAAATTTTCTTCTCGTCTTACTTTCGCGACTGCGGGATGATGTGGTAGGTGATGGACTCTTAGTCTGCTATTCTCCGCTAACGGACAGACAAATGGACAGGGAGAGAATGGCATTGCGCGATGCACCACGCATTATCGAGTTCTTTCTGAATTATCTTTTAGGAACTCGTGCTTTATATGAGGAAGAGCCGTCTCTTAAGCGCGCCCTTGAAGTTGCAAGGAGAGCAAAAGAGGAATTACCGTTAACGATGCAAATTGGAGTCAATATTCCCGATGAACTTGCCAAATGTCTCACGGCAATATATGGTAGTCGAGTCAAACAAGTAACGTGGTCGTTCGATCTAGATCAGGAGAACTCGGAGCCACAGGAGGACTCAGCGACACAATTCAAAGCTGAAGTAGAAGAAGGTGGTGGGATTATCATTTCAGACATGGTTTCCGGACCAGCTGGGACTGCAAGTGCTAGCGGTGAGGAAGCAAATGAAGCTGGACCTCCTTTGTCGGAGAAAACTAGTAGCTGGGGTGCCGATAATACCGGAGGTACTGGAGGTTGGGGTGCTGGGTCGACAACTGGCGAGCAAGACCAAGAGGGAGGATGGGGTGATAATTCGTGGGCACAGCCGGAGGAGACACAAACAGGGAATCCATGGGCCGATCCTGATGAACACTCTTTGATGAAACTCCTTGGACCGACCAGTCTCCCTATCACGCACACTGTTGGGTATGTCGAAGAGTCAACTCGCTACGTCTCGAGTGTCGAGCTTCCCAAAACGAACGAGAAGTCCGAGAATGAAGGAGAAGGAACAATGACCTCAAGCGATCTATTCCGCCAGTTCGCAAAGGTAGTTCTCAACCCCTACCCGACGTTCGCAGCACCAAGTGCGCCCCGTGCGGCGATCCAGCCACCAGAGCTGATCGAGGATCCATGGGCAAGGATATCTTCTGATAACACCGATTCAAGTGCTGCCAAACCCCGCATTCCACGCCACGACCCTGCCAAAGACAGTATCACCATGCTCATCGACCCCAAAGTCGCCAAGGATCTCGCCTTGGGAAAGAGAATGGGTCTCGGCGGGACTTTCGTGCAGATCATACCCAATTATGCTGCTGATACTGCTTCCGTCGCGCCCCCGGATTGTGGGGAAGGGCAGGATAAGGGGTGCGACGTGCAGATCAGCTCCCGTGGGAGTGGACGCACTGGAAAGAAGGGTCGTTCTTCTGAAGAAGACACATTCTGGTATGCAGAGAAAATCTTACAGATCCTTCCGAGCTTCTGGACCGAGAAACAGGAGTGAAGGGAAATCACTTCATCCGCCTTTCTCGGCACTGACTGATTAAGTCCAAAAACATTCTTGTATGTAAAAAAAACCCCTGCTGTGATTTTCTGTATAGTATCTCATCCACCTGATCAACTAACGAAGTGATAGGCATGTGCTTCATTTGGTAACTTGTAATTTTAAATCCCAAACTTTCTAAGTCGTTATTCAAACGAGGACAGAGCAAGTCTTTATTTAAAGACCCAAGTGAGGAACAGAGCAGTACATCCCGAATAACCGTTGAGAGTAACAAGGTATATATATTCATGAGAAACTCCCAAGTGCATCAAGGCATATCCGTCAAGTCGAACAATAAACACCTCAAAGGTTAATTATAATCGGGACACAGCCAATGGCAATGAGGCCATCTAAAGCCAATGATAGTCAGTGATCAACCGATCCAAAGGGTGAAAATGAAAATGAAAATCTTAGACTTACTGAAAGTGTTATTCTCGCAGCAAACGGGAGTGGCGGAGCTAAGTGGACAAATCAAGTTAAAACGTATTTAAATAAGACTTCACGTGCATTGTCTACGTACCATCCAGCACTACCGAGGCCAATAACAGAGATAGGGTCACAAGTAAGCCCGACAAGCGCATTGATGTCTTGGATGACAACGCCCAGCAAGCCCAAAATACCCGTAACTGCCGAGCTATCCGCCTTCTGGACGGAATTGCAGCATTGAATCGGGCCGGTGTTGCACTGACCACCGGTTATTGTCTCTGTAGCGGTAGCTGTGACGGTGATCGTCGTCGCGGGAGGCTTGGATGTCGGTGAGCCTCCGCCGGGCAAGGGCATGGGTGTGGCAACCGCAAGGATGGGCAGAGCGAGGTAAGCAATGTACTTCGTGAAAAGCATTATGGGATGAGTTCGGAACGGGAGGTTCGAGGGAGCTTGTTAGTCGGAGATGGATAGTTCAACGACTAGAGATCAAAACACGTAGACAGGCCTCCTTTTATACACGGAAGTAGGACCTTCGATGCGTCCGTGCGCACATGTTTGTCTTACGAGAACACGAGCCCCTACAAAGTTGGCACCGGCTAACTCGAAGCATCAGACTCAGCAGACCATATTCAGTGTAAATGAAAATTGGAAGACAACAAACAGCCAATAGAGCGTGTGAAGAACCGAGCCCAGAAAAATGATCCAAACAAAGGTCAGTTCTGCACAAGAAGGACATCAAGAGAATATGTATACAGCACATCATAGGAAGCAGATTATCAACAAGTGCTCGAAGCCCATAGGTCCGAGCAGTACGTGCCTTGGAGCGGAACCCATTAATCAAACACATTCACAAACCGGACACAAGAGTCTTGACAAAGAGAATTGTGGTAATCACATAGATCAAGGCACAAGAAGTCTGCCATGCCCTTGCATGTCTTAGCAAAGCTGAGATTCTGACGCCGTTCGGGCCCGACACAAAAAAAGTCTCTAGTATTTCCTCAGCGATCCCATTACTGGGTCAACCCTTTATTTGCACATAGTTCTTGTCATCAATTGAAGGCTGAATCGTGCTCAAGGGCTATACCGCCGTCTCTTGAGAAAATCACCACGAAAGATTGCAAAGTACGTTTGATAAGGCTCCGATCATCAAATTGTGGGGGAAAATCTTCAAGCTTGATTGGAAAAACCTCTCAGACAATTCAGTAGAGATCGGTAATCTGGGAAAGAACGACAACACCAACGAACACGCACGGACGCCGCAAGGTTTTCCAGCAACCTTCGTCGGAAAAATAACGCCAAACCTCAGTATTACTTCCTAAAATGATAGTAGAAAGCAAATATAACATCACCGTTATTGCCAAGACAGAAGAACAGAATGAACAGGCCATCAGCAGACAACAGTGGAAATAGCCAACACGTCAGCGGCGTTGGCGATGACAAGGCAAAGCTCGCCGGTTAGTTCGGTCCATAATGGTAAGCTGACGGCCGGACGCTTCGATGTTCTTGCTCCAACGGAAACGATTAAGCGTCGGACACGCGTAAGGTACGTTTAGATGTTGTAGATCGTCTCCGTTCGAGTAAGGAGATACACTTCGGCAGGTCGGACAAAAGTCCGGTTTGCATAACCTAAATTTCGTAGAAAGTTAGGTGTTATTGGGGCAACTGCAATACTATATCAGTCGCCAAATCGCCAAAGAACTTCAGTGGGTTTGGAAGGACCCGAGTCTACTATTGCTTTGATCTCATGCCGGAAGGTAGTGCATGCAAGGCCATGATCATGGTGAGTATTCCTTTCAACTGTCTTCAACGGAGGATATTGATAAGGAGTGATGAAATCAGACGTCTGAAACGTCATATTCGTATTCGGAGGACCAGTCAGCTATTGAGTACGAAAGAGAACGTATGAGAATACACATCGCCAAAGGCATTGTCCAGCTATTATTGGCCCATCATCCTTAACCTGTCAGGATGAATACCATTTGGGCCACCTGGTTGAGAGGCATTTGAACCAGGCGGAGGTCCATAGTTCTGTGGTGGCGGACCGTTAGCATTCATTGGTGGAGGGCTAAAGTTGGTCGGCGGCTGTCCCGGTGCGCCAGGAGCACCATTCATGAAATTTGGAGGCGGAAGGAATGGAGGTTGCCCATTTGCGTTTGGTGGAGGGAAGGGTGGAGCACCTGGTGCTACTACAGGTGAGTTTAAATTTCTGGCAATTCTAGTCAAGAACGGAACGTACCTCCAGGCGGAAAGTTAGGTGGCGCCATGCCGGCAGGAGGAGGAAATGGTGGAGCGCCCATCATGCCCGGAGGAGGTGGTCCACCAAACCCACCAGGTCCAGGAAAGGGAGGAGCACCTACACCGTAAGAATGTCAGAAGCAGTACTGGCCCAGAAGAGAAGGATATATTTACCTGCACCGGGAAAACCGCCGAATGGCGGTGGTCCACCGAAACCACTCGGCGGAGGAGCGAAGTTGAATCCTCCGGGAGGCGGACCACCTCCAGAATCGTATGCAGACGTGATCTGGTCGATGATGCTCTGCGCCTTGTCATGCCCGAGAGCTAGAAAAGAATGGTTAGGGATGCCTTAATAGTCAACTAGCAGTCAACATACATGCGTAATAATCACGGACATTCGCAAGGTGATTCCTGCCGCTGTTGTGTGCCTTACGCACTGGAGTGCTATGTCAGTTGTAATTCATAAGAGATGGAGAAAGAGTATACCTGAGGCTGAGTCGTGTGTTAAGTAAACATCGCAATAATCACAGTAGTGTTTCTGAAACGTTTGTTAGCCAAATACATAGCAAAGTAGCGCAGGGCTTCAGGTAGACTTACTGGCATGGTGGTCGTCAAAGAAAGAAAGTGCAAGTGACTGCCTTGCTGACCAAGATCTCTAATGAAACTCAGGTTCCCATATAAAGAAGGTAAGTCACATACCTCTAGACTTCAAACTTTAAGATTAACGAAACTTTTTTAGTTACATACACCATCGTATTTGTTAATTTCGGAGGAAGCGTCAGTTCTCCCTGTTCCGCGGGCAAACTCCAGACGGGCTGTGCACCTTGTAATCTCTCTGAAGCTAATATACGAAGAGCCACAGTTCACTGCGGCCTGTTGTATTTTCCACCAACGCGACTCTGGAATGTATGTGTAACTTGGGCGTGGTGCCTTTTGCAGCCCTTTCCAATAACACGACTGGGACTACTACTTGTTGTTGTGGTACGTATAGAGCAGCTTTTTTTACGAGTATTGGGTCTGCTCACCCTATATGTCAGAATGTTACGGCATAAATATTGATGACTTTCTAGTAACACTCGGTATCTGCCACTCATGGAGTCCTGTGATCAACAATGTGTGCGACTAATTCATCCTTCTACCGCTCGATTTAGGGTCTCGGAGCGTTTCCTACCAGCGCCGGGCTCTTCATAGGCAGTCATATGTACTCGAAGCACAGGGTACTTGTCATCACAGGCGCGCCTCCATAATATCACAAACGCCACCTCATCATCTCATGTTCCCTCTCTGTCTAATCACCTCCTTCGATTTAAAGCCGACCCTCGGCCCTTACCCTTCAGGCCTCTCTAGATGAGCCTTATCCATTGACTGATATTAGTACCCTCTGCCCAATCGCTATTAATCACTTTCATCTCAGCCGCGCGTTTGTCTCGTGGGATATGGACATGATCATCTCAACAAGACTTGCACCGCTCCGATGGTCTGTAGAAGGATTGCCTGGTACGAAGTGCGAAGGTCGAGGGCTTCTCGACCGCCGTACCATGTCATGTTACTCGAGTTCCGCAGGCCCTCTGCCCTGCGGCGCGGCAGTGCCCTGTACTATAATATAAGGTCGAGACGGAACCTCGGCGAAAGGATAGGTACCCATCGTACTCTATCTATCTAACCGTCCCGCGTACGTACCTACCTTGCTAGCGGATTGCGATCATGGCTGCAAAGTCTCGCGAGGAATGCGTCTACCTGGCAAAAGTTGCCGAATCCGCGGATAGATACCCGGGTAAGTTTCTCGTCTTCCTTACTCACGAATCCGGGTATTTGCTCACACGCCGTAAACCGAGGTCAGAAATGTTAGAGTACGTGAAGGGCATTGTCAAGTTCTCCAACGCTCGTCTCTCCATCGAGGAACGCAGTCTGTTGTCCGTTGCGTACAAGAACGTGACAGGCTCGCTGCGAAATGGTTGGCGTGCAGTCGCACACATCGAAGAAGTCGAAGGACCGAAGCAGTCTACCTCGCAGCGCGAACTTGCATTAATTCGGCAGCAACGTGCGCGGATTGAACGCGAAATTGCTGAGGCATGTGAAGACGTTCTGAGGCTGCTCACGAACACACTCATCCCAGCTGCACACCCCGGTGATGAGACGGTCTTCTATTATAAGATGTGAAAACTTTCCTCTTCTAGTATGACTTGTGGTACTAATTAAGGACGTCGACGCTATTAGGAAAGGAGATTATTATCGATACTTGGCCGAATTGTCTCGCGGCGACACGAGGAAGGACCATGCAGCCGCCTCACTTGATGCATACAAACTTGCATATAAGCTCGCGTTGGGATCACTTGAAGCCACGCATCCCACTCGACTCGGACTTGCGCTAAATTTTGCCGTGTACTATCGTGATGTCTTGAATAGCCCAGAACGTGCATGCCATCTTGCCAAACACGCGTTCGATGAAGCGGTGGCGGTTCTTGACCAAATGCCGGATGCGACATACCGTGACTCCTTGCTCATCTTGCAACTCCTGAGGGATGATTTGATGCTCTGGTTTAAAGAAATTCAGGAACGAGGTAAATTTACTCGGTTTAATATTTGTTTAAGATATACTACTAATCTCTTGTATTAGATGAGCAAGAAGCGAAAGCAGCCACCCAATGAAGACCTACTCTACGAATGAGTTTCGAGTATGGGATATGTACACTACTTTTCATGTACGAACAGTATGCGTCGACTGTATTAGCATATGCCGATTATCGTGTAAACTATGTAACTCCTTTTCCTCTATCCTAGTAGGTTTTGTATGGCTTTCGACTCGGTCAAACCGGCGAGATACCATAACATCCGCTGATCTTGAACTCTCCTGAATCGGCATTGTATCGGATGTTAATATCTGACTTTGTGATATATAGATCATTGTATCTAGGTATTTTTCAATTAGTCTCGATAGTATAGTGGTGAATGAGAGGTTAAAATCAAGCATACCTCGCTGAGCCGACAATCTCCCCCACGAGTCCTTCGAACTCGGATCCGGACATTTTCTTCAGCTTGAACTTTGGCGGTCCATCAAGTTTGAGTATTGCACCGAAGACGAGCGGATCGGGACAGAGACCATCGAAGACGAACTTTGCAGAATTGGTCTTGCAGTTTGGCTTCCACTGGTTGTATGCGTGAGAAAATTGGTTTGGCGAGCAATTAGCAGCTCGCTCGGTGAAGAAAAAGAAAAATAGTACGTACTGTGAGCTGTCTTTTGATTCCACGAACAATCAGATCTGTAAGACGCGTAACTGCTACTTTCATTTCCTCTGGCGACTTTTCTTTCTCGATTCTGGTACCATTGGCATTTGCTGTCTTTAACTCCTCGACTTCTTCTTCTAAGCTACGTGTGTAGTTCGCTATGTCACAGAGAACCTGTCGAACGGCATCTCCGTCGCTGACATCAAAGTCCAGAGAACATGATTTTGGGTCGGCAAGAACACTGGTAATGAGAGATTTTGCGAACGTGTATTCTGGAGAAGAGGAAGAAGTGGATTTGCGTTTCTTGGAGGATGCAGCAACAGAGGTGGTGTCGGATTTACGTTTTACTGCCATTCTCGAATTTGAATGGATAGACGAGCGAGAAGTCGAGTATTATTCAGAGGTTGACGCGAGAGAAAAACAAAGGACTTCAGACGCGTCGCGACGCGTTTTTCTATATTTTTAGTCTCCGATAGAAATTCTTCGGGGAATTCAGAAGTTCTTTTACCAAAATTTAGGAATTCTTTCTAACCTCTCCAACCTTCTCGTGCACAATATCCAGCACCCAAACTACATACTTCATACTTTTTTTAATCTTCATGCTACGCTCATAACAGACATGGAACGTCAGTGGAGTACTATTGTTGAGTCTTGACCGCCCTTAAGCTGGACAGTTATACTAGCTGGTTAGATGACTGCCGGAATAGGAACGAAAAATCTTGAAGTAGATGAAAATTAGTGTACTCTACTGCATATCTTTAGAATGTGCACAGACATACAGGTTCTGACTGCATTAGGAGGGTCAGCAAAATTGACAGTTGCTGTCATTTGCCAAGCCATCATAAGCTAACGTGCCTAAAAACGTTCTCAATGAATGTTGATCCGTTACCGCCACGTCTTCCTCCCAAAGAATCAACACTATGCACGAAGAGTTCGACAGCTCTGAGATCCTATATCGAGACTGGGAAACAGTGATTATTAGTAAGCATACTCCTATCGGTCTACGTTTTCCGCCGTCCGAGTTGACCTAACTGTCAAAATTCTCACAGAATAGGAATCACTACCCATTCTAGTTGAATCTCAGAATGCACAATGTTGAGAAGAAGCCCTTTCATGAATGACAGTACATTTATCTAGCACAGCGGTCGCTAGGCTCAGTACCAAATCACTGATAAGTATGGCCTATGGCTTATGTAGTCAACTGTCTTCTCCGAGGCACTAGAGAAGCCGTCGCGTCGGAGTCATTCTGCAGCAGATGCATGTGCATTTCCATTCTTCGATTTTCGTTGATACCCGACTACTCCTGTCAGTTCAAGGATAACTCAGTCTCTTCTCTTGTCTTTCGCTTCTCCACGTCGTGTGTAGGCATAACTGCTTAACCCCGTTCACTCGTCCAAAGCAAGACTCTCCACTTCATTACATCATCTGGGTCAACTTGTCTGCCAAACTCGGCGAACACAGAATATGTCCTCAAGCTATCAAGAACGACGTTACGTTGTCCCAGACCGATCTGACCCAATGGGCGGATTCAACCCGAGAGGGCCACCCTTCGCGGATGCGTCAAACCCAAACGTCGTGCGCTTCACTGCAACACACGCTGGCATCTGTACAGGAGAAGTAATCGACCATACCAACGCTCCTCTCTATCGCTTCCAAAGCGATGGTGCACGTCATTTGGTCATGCTTGATGCATCGGGAGGCGTCCTTGCAAAGTATGAGGATGGGGAGGTGGCTTACGGGGACAATTTTCCGGTGAAGGGGAAGAAGTTTATTCATAAGGGTGCGCCGGGGAACACGTACGTTTCCACCTATCAATTCCTTCCTTCCAGTTCTTCTTTGCTAAGCTGATTATTTTGTTCGTTCGACAGTGGAGCAGTCCTCACTTTTAACGGGCAACAATACGAGTTCGTTCAAGAAATATTCTACGCTATTGTCCGTACCATACCATCAGCCGATCGTGTCGCAATTGTGTACAACTATACTGGAAAGCCAGCAGTAGAGATGGTCCCTGCTGGTACAGAGGTCGCAGGTCTTCAAGAATTCATCGTATTTGTAACTGCACTGATGGAGAGTGGTGTCATGAAGGGTGGGAAAAGTAGACTGGGAAAGACGTTTCAAAAGATCATACCAGGGAAGAAGTGTACGTGAGAATTTAGAAGTGTACGTGAGAATTTAGAAGAGCAACATTATTTGCATTATTTGATACAAAATTCAAATATTATTCGCCATTCAATGCTTCATTGTCAATGTCCAAGGATTTCTAAAGGAACAAAGAATCACGATCTTTATGTTGTCTCAGTCTGACTCAGTTACAGCCGTTTGCATATATAATGAGACTTTCTGATTTTTGAGCAAAGTGAAGAAAAGTAAGAAATCACATGATTTTTTGAACTTAGAAGGAAAATAGTGAGCACAAGACAGAGTGAATGAGACACGTTGTGCCAGTGTCTGTGCATACAGTCTACCTCCTGCTACCTGTCCCTAACTTTTCAACCTGTCTATTGCTATTCTATTCTGCTATAATGTCTTACTTCTATCAAAGTTGCTTCTCCTCTGCTGCTATTGTGCCAGATTCTGACAACAAAGTCACTTGTCTTAGGTAGTATAGGTCGTCTGTATGGAGTTTCCGAGGCCGAGCACGACAAGCAGTTGTTGGGCAAATGACATTGCCTGTTTCTTCCCAGAGTTTGCAAATGCGAAAAAAAGTAGCCCAAGAGAATCTCACACAGTTTAGAATGTTGTCCAAGCTTAGAATATTGAGGTCATACAGTCTTAGACAGCAGATTTTGAGGTCTCTACTGATGCAGCAGTTACTCATGATTGTAGCAGCTCAAAATATATGCATAGACACTGGCACAACGTGTCTCATTCACTATCTTGTGCCCACGAATTTCCTCTAAGTCTAAAAAATCATGTGATTTCTTACATTACATTACGTCGCTCAAAATCGAAAAATCTCATTATTTATGCAAACAGGTGTAAAGCTTCCATGCACATCTATGATGTCATTGAAAATTATACAAGTCACGTGCAATAGACTTGAGTAGTGGTGTAAATCACTGCCAAACAAGGCAGTCCTCTGCCCAAACCAATCACATAAACCACAATTTGCTGATAACGAACTGTTTTCAGGCAAAACACCATCACAGTACACGCAAATAAAAACATTGGAACCTACATCCCAGTGAGGCAGACAGGACTCGAACCTGCAATCTTCTGGTTAGAGATTTGGGCACCACGTTTTTGTGAAGAAACGCTAGAACGGCAATCGAAGCCAGACGCGTTACCATTACGCCACTACCCCAACACCTCGACTTTCATTGATAAACAGTTGCACGTAGTTTAGCCGCCTGAGAGAGATGGGAATGTGATGAGTGAAACGCAGGGGTGAAGGGAACCCGTGACTAGTTGGATTCTCGTTTTCATTGGATAAGAAGTACTTGTATAAGGGCTGCTTCACTCCGGCATGATTGATAACCGCTCTTATCGATTTTGCAATTATGTACGTCCTGTGGATGGTAGGTGTGAGATGATGGCGTAGCTTAACGTACGCGACAGTGCTAATAGGCATGTCCATGAGAGTCCAGTTCATCCTTTTCTGACTTGATCGATTCATTATAAAAAGCGTGTGCAATACAGAGAGGGAACATGAATCTTTGGGTAGAAGTCAACAAGTGCATAAATGATGGAGTGACGTTAATTGAATGAAATAAGTGAAAGCAACAAGAAAGCTGTGTGTAATGCGTTAGAAATGCGGTCCTGATTTTGATTGACTGATAAAGGTCCGAAAGACGTGCAAGAAGAATACGTGATACAAATAAAACGGATAAGGCGAAGGGTGACAAACTTTTGTCATTCCATAGTAGAAGAGCTCGCAACGACGAGCTCCTCGTCGACTTCTAGACAATCGCGGAACGACTCATTGGTAAGATCGGCATGTTCGGCTTTGCAAGGGTTTTGGAATTCTTCTAAGTTCGCGTGGAATTCGCACGGTTGGTCTCCTATCGGAACACCTTCGCCTGCCTCCAATCGGCGGTTTATGATGCCGTAAGAAGTTGGAATGCTGATATAGTGCTCTTCTGTCACCGGATCCACAGAGTGGTAGTGGCCACATTGTCCCTCGCCGTGCGGATGTGGGAAGAACGAATCATCCCCGAGGTCTGTTACCAAACTTGAGCTCGTTCCTGAAGAGGATGAGTAGTTAGACGTATTATCGAGTCCAGCAAGAAAGGGGTGGTAAAGGGCATCTCGCGCGGTGATCCGACTGATAGACTCGGGCATCAGTAGCTTGTCGAGGAGGTCAAAAGCCAATTCAAGGTCTCGCATGTAAGTGTCCGGGTCGGAAGACCCGGCGAGAGGGTTGGAAGTAGAGGAAGATGGAGAGCTTGGAGGTGTAGGTATGTCAAGAATGTTTGGGTTGTTTTTCTCCACGAATTCGCGCCACGTCATGCCATCCCGAGTAATAGCAGGTACGTTTGTGGCAAAGGTCCGATCTATTACGGTATTATAACTTAGAAGGATCATGGGATAGATTGTATCTGCTATGCTTACTGTGCAGTGTCGCGGCGCTTTCCATGCGCCTCTTGCCAATAATAGCGGCAATCTCCATGAGAGCCTCAATGTCGTCGTTCGATTGGAAAAGGGGAAACTTGCCGGTTAGGAAGAATAGAAGAATCATACCAGCGGACCAGATGTCGATGGCTATACCTTTCACTCAGCATCTGGATGGGTTCTGTAGCATTCAACTCACCGCCTGTTTGATCGTTGCATTTTAATAGAACTTCAGGAGCTCGGAAACCGCGCGTTCCTGCCCTGTTAGCCTTTGAATGAGGTCTGAGAAATGAGTCAGATGGTGAAGGCCCAGTTAGGCCACTAAAATTACCTCAAGTCTTTCTCAAGATATCCGACTCGATCAGACGGCAAGGTGCCTTTCTGTCGTGCATCGCGCTGCATGGCCTTGACGAGATTGGTATCAATGAGTTTACCCGACTTCTTTTGGCCATGTAGATACTCCCGCGATGGTGGAGTATGCAAGCAGTGCCCGTGTTTCGCATCAAGGTCAACACGCTGTCAAATACGTTGAGCTGTAGCGTGAAATTGCGTGTATCATTAGATACTTACACAAGCCAAGCCAAAGTCGCAAAGGGTTCCAATATAAGTACGAGAGTCGAATAAGAAATTTGCAGGTTTTACGTCACGGTGAATGACCCCTCGTGCATGAATATCGCGCAATGCGCGCAGCAGGCAACGGAAGTACGCTTTGACCCCAGACATAGGCAATGTTCGGTAAAAATCACGGAAGTCATCATTGTGATGGTACGGCATGACAGCAACCACTTGATCACGGTGGCGGAAAGCAGTGATAAGCTGAGAAACGTGTCGAGCGCCTCGGCAATCCTCAAGAATCATAATTTCATTGCGTATGCGCTCTGGGTTGCTGGTAACGTAAATTCGCTTGATTGCGACAAAGACCTTGGATCCAGACGTTGGAGGGGTGGACTGATAGCGCGCGGATGATGAAGGAGGATGACGACCTTGCCAACAGCTATTGTGCCATTTGGCTTCATAGGAAATGTCTAGTGCCTTGTAAACAGACGAGAAAGTACCAGTGCCGAGTCGGTCCACAATCTTGTAGTCTTCTGTCAGTTGCGGGACAGCGTCCTCAAGATCAGCGATCTCATCCTCTATCTCTTCTCGTTCCTCTGGTGATTTCAAGAGTATGGTCATCTCCTCGTCCGTTCGTGGTTCTTCGGGTTCGTCATCCTCGAATTCCACTGGCTGAGTGTCTGGTACTTCGTCATCAACATCCACGATATCATCCTCCTCGTCAATGAGTTGCTCGACCGGTTGAATTTGCATAATTTCTTCTTGCTGACTGTGTACGATCTCAAGTTCGTCGTCACTCTGGTTATCGGGGATCTGCTCATGTGCCACCCCTCGTTCAGTTAGTGTGGGCGCAGGCTCATATCTTCCCCGCCTCGGCTTGGGTGGTATACCCGGGAACATCCCGAATATGTGATTCTGATAGTCCTCAACTTTATAACCATCGATCGGGTCATCCGATGAGGGCGCTAGAGTACCCGCCTTCTTTTCCCTCTGCTGTTCTAGCTGCGCATGATAGCGCGCATTTAGAGGGTCAGACGTTGGCACCTCTAGCGGGTTTGAGGAATGATGAGAGAATAGAGCTGGAGCAGCCATGGCTCCAGCGACCTGAGCGACCTGCTCGATAGTGAGACGAGGAGGAAATGGTCGCTGGCTCAATCAATGGATGTTGAAGACGCGTGCTAAACAAGGTCAAACACGTGAGCGCGACGCGTGAAGTCAATCGCGTACGTAATGCATTATTATGTCATAAACCCGTCGATCACTTTTCAGAAATTTTGGGCTCTGAGTCTGAGTCTAGTGGACTTTCTCTGAACCTCTGCTGACCATGGGAAATCTACCTGAAACCATCTCGGGATTTGCTGTTTTACCTGCTGTCTACTCAAAGGATGCGACTCATATACTCTACGCTAAAATACACACTGCTCAAAAGAAAACTACAGACAGACCTGTATCTGACGTCTTACCGAAGGAGCGGACACTGTTTCTCGTGAACATCCCACCTGACGCGACGGAACGCGAACTTTCACTCTTTTTCAAGCCAGATGGTTTAGTAGAGAAAGTTGTATTCGATCAACGTGCGGCAGAGGAAGAGGCACTCAATGCCATTGACGAGAGCGAAAGCGAGGCTGAAGAGCCCAATGATGAGAGCATGGACGTAGACGAAGAACGTCCCGTGAAAAGGGCCAAGAAGGTGAAGGATAAAAATCAACGACCAACTCTTGTATCATTGCCTCCCTCGTCTCTGCGAACCTTTCGCAGGACAGGTAGAACAGCATTCGTTGTTTTTCTGGACTCTTCGTCTCTTTCCAAAGCTCTATCACCACCCCATACTCCGAGACCTTGGCCACAATCTACCGAACACCGGGGCCTATTACACTACAAAACGTTGCATTCAGCTATGCGACCTCCGCTCGATGTAGTGCGAACACATGCAGAAAGTGCCATTGCTCTGTACGATTACGAAGAGCAACAACGAAAGAAGAAGTGTCAGTACCGGAAAGGCGAAGCAATCGTCGACGAAGACGGCTTCACATTGGTTACACGTGGCGGGGCGTATGGTCAGACCCTGGGTGGGGGAGTCGCTATCGCTAGCAAGCGCTTCCAGGTGACGGGCGAAACATCCGAGCGTGTAAAAGGAAAGAAGAAAAAGAAGCAGGGTATGGAGAAAGAAGGCTTCTATGCCTTCCAAAAGCACGAGAAGAAGAGACAAGGTTTGACAAATTGTACTCCCCCATTATCACCCTAAATTGACGTGATCATTTTTCTTCAGAATTGATCGATCTCAAGAAAAAGTGGCAAGAGGACCTGGAAAAGGTCCAGAAGCTCAAGGAATCGAAGCGATACAAGCCATATTGAGCCCATCCAGATTATTAATTCATACGTGTGATACATTGTCCTACATTCATTTCTCTACGTATAACCAAAAAATACAATGGCGTAGACAGCTAGGCGTCATAACCAGGCGGCAATTCTCCCGGTACGGGTGCTGGAGGAGCTCTCGAGCTTGATGGCTCTGGCGTACGATCAGCGCTGCGGGAGTCGTATAATGCTATTATCAGCCCGTATCAGGTCAGTAAAGATCGCCATTGGATAGATCATTGAAGACATACGAAGTGTATCCTCGTCGCTTGCCGCCTGACGTTTCATGTATATCGCGCGCTCACGACTTTTCTCCAACGTGCTGACGAACTGGAACATTCCACGATCTTTAAACCTGATCTCAGCGCGTGTCCCCGATGCCAGCCCACCATCTGGCGACGGTTTGATGTCGATTGAAAGATAGTTGGTACCGAATACAGGCTGCTCAAATGATGTGGAAAGAATAGATGCGAGCGGAACTGTCAGAGTCTCGAATGTTGGGTTGGGCGATGCAATAAATATGAGCTAGATGCAAGAATGTATTCGAGTTGACATTAGGACCATTAGTTGCAATGGAACAGTATCCATATTTACGCACCCGCTGATCTGTTAGATATATTCGACCCGTCTCTTTCAACTTCTTCTCGCCCCCTACTCCCTCACCAGACGATCCTTCAGAGGGAGGTGTGTTTGGGATGATGAGGGTTATCTCAGCGCCGTCGTCAATCGTCAAGATAGTGATTTCATTCAACAGAGGTATCGGACTCCTCTGCTGGTCAAGCATTGCCCAATTGAGTGCCATGTCTCGTGCGGTTGGGTGATATGTGCCCCAGTGATGGACTGTTTAGTTTAGAATGTAAGCAGGTACGTTGAGATCTCGAGGTTCAAGTTTCCAGAGTGTCCACGATTGATGAGTCACACGTGACTAGCTAAAGTCACCTCAAGTCATGGGCTGCTTTGCCCACTTTAACCCTCCTTGCAACTTAGCAAGTACCGCCCAACATTTCAGATAATAGCCTTCGAAACTAATTCAAAGTGGTTTCCTCGCACCGCATCTTCTGTGCTATGAGGAAGGCGAATATCAGTCCCAACCGCCCTTGTTGTGTTCGCACCTCAGACCCGACTTCATAAACACGATCTCGAAAAGACATTGAATACACCAACAAGTTAACATCAAGGCTTCGTGAAAATAAACTGGCGAACGTTTTTGTGAGTACTCCGAACTGCCCGGGTTCATTGAATTGACTGTGCCTTGACGGACTGTTCCCGACATTGACGCACCGATGGCCACTCTCTACTACCGTCCTAACCTGTGAAAGCCGAGGGCCGCCATCTTAACTAACATCATATTAGAGGTGCCGGCGTCAATGCCTTCCGCTTTCTCCATCTTACTCAGGTCATTTGGTACAACACCATGTACGCACAGTCCGCAATTTTCTTAGCGGCTCCATTGCTGTTCCTGTTTCCGTATCCCGCAGTCAACGGACTTGTCCAGCAGCAAGTGAACAATAGTTTTCCTCCGAACTCGATCGTCCAATTTAGTTCTGCTAGAGCCATGTCGAGACATTGAACCTGCCAACCGCAAAGATCCGTCTGGTACGACTTCCATGGGGTTAGGATCTTCGTTCCGTATTTAGTATGATTTACGTTGGTGTTGTGTTCCACTATATTCAATATGCGTGATTGTGGTGCTGAACGCTTTCTAGAATACCTTAATCCAGCAACAGAATGTGGATTCCCTTCTTCAATTATTTTTTCTCGCGCGAATTGGTTCGATGTGAATAAGCCGGGCTTTCTGAACATGCGTTAAGGACAAGAAATCCTTCTCGCCCTTGGAGCCTAATCAGCAGATTAATTGTCATGACAGATCACTGCGGGTGATGGGGATGAGCTTCTGATCACCCTATTTCCGCTTCTACGTCACAACACGTTTACTTGGTGCGGATTTTTCTATGTGTAAGACTATTTCATATTTCGCCGAATTTTTAAAAAAACTCCTGATCTATTTTATCCTGGTACAGAGTTCAATTGTTGAGGTGCGTGAGGTGTCAGCCGAGTGTATATAGTGGAGAAACACGACCAGTCAAGACTAGTCAAGCGAAAGAACGCTTCCCGACGCTACAACTCTATCATCTCGCAACGAACATGCAGTGTGTCACCGTCCTATTCTTGGGTGCCTGACCGTCCTGAATTAGAAGACCTTGCGCAATATAATTTGTTCAAGCCCAGTTCCCGCTCCAAGCAACATTGTTGACAGTGTTTCATGCCGAAGAAGTCTTCCTTGTGCCAACAGTGCTTTAGTCGCACCACGTAATGTCTGCTTCCTCAACCGATTGGCTACTATTCTTTCCTTCTCGTGCCGAACAACACATCCCATGACGTCGTAATTCATCGCTAATGTGTTGTAGCGAATAGAATATGGTGAAGTGGGAAGGAACAAGTGTGCGGAGTAGTGTGCGTAGTTGCTTGATACTTGTTTTCCCGGCGCTGTTCTGGTCCGATCGGCATACGCACGGGCCTCTGCAGGCAAGTATAAAATCGGAACCATTCGACCTCATATTCCCCAGTCGTTCTGCGAATCAATTCCCAGCTACAACTGCCTTACCTTTAGCCCTATCAGCTCCTCACTGCACTACACAATGATGTTCAACAAGTATATTGCTCTTCTCGCTCTCCCCATCCTTGCTGTCGCCACGCCCATGCCGGGAGGCGAACCGACGACGAAGCCTGCTACTACCTCCACAGTAACCGTGACCGCGCCGGCTTCGACTTCGACTCAGCCAGCGAGCCAGTGTAACACGGGTGATCTTCAATGCTGCAACTCCGTCCAGAGTTCGGATAGCAGCGGCCTTGCAGGCCTCCTTAGTCTCTTGGGTGTTGTCCTCCAGGGTGTTGCTGTCCCTGTTGGCTTGACCTGTGACCCCATCTCTGTCATTGGCCTTGGCAGTAATAGCTGGTATGTTGGCTGCAGTTGTGGCATGCTCTACCCTTGTTGACGGATCTAAATGTTCTACTAGCTCTGCACAGCCTGTTTGCTGCTCGAACAACAACTTCAGTGGGTCTTTTCCTTCCATCATCCATCTAAAATTTGCTCAATTGAATCTACCGTAATTTTCAAATACAGACGGTGTCATTGCCCTTGGCTGTACACCAGTCAACCTCAACCTTTAAAGGGTATAACTTATCTCACGCTGGTATGACGAAGCCTGGATCCTACGAGAATGAGGGCAGATGGGATCTTACTGGATGATGGAGTAGTGTTGTAATGACTGTTTGTGTGACTGATTGTTTGCATATCTGCTTGCTATGACTGCTATATGATGGCTTGTGCTTGGTGCTTAACAGAGCTTGATTTTTCCGTGATGCCTTAAGTCTGCTTCAACATAAATATGATTACCTTTTGAAAGAACGACAAGAGACCTAGAAACACATTTATTCTCCTTTCTAAATGAGATTGGACATACGTTTCAATTGGTCAGATATGTTTAAAACCTTGATATTCATTACCAACAAGATGTTACCTAATGAAAATCTTTGATAATCGTGCATTTGAAAATCTGTATTGGTGTCCTAAAATCATTAAACTAATCTCTTCCAGGCTTTGTCTTGGGCTGCTCAGCTCCTTCGACAGGATGCACCCAGGATATTCTATCCCTTGAATAATACTCCACTTGTGGTCTAGCATCCTTTGCAATTCCATCATCCCCAACTATATTGAAATCATCCAGCGCACTGTAAAATACAGCGAATGTGCGTCCACCATCTCCGCGATCAATATAGAGTGACGCCCCGCATTTGCTGCAGAATTTGCGAACCAGCACATTGCCGGTGTCTTGGACAGGATCGCTATAGGTGCTAACGAGGTTTTCTCCTTTCGTGAATCTCAGCAAGTCCTTTAAGTTGGATCTTTAGCGATGGACGTCTTTAGTCGCGGCACAAGAGAATACGTACAGCATCCGGAAATACTACGTTACTGGTGAAGACTGTTCCAGTGAATTTCTTGCAGTTCTTGCAGTGGCAGCAGGTTACTCTTAGTAGCATGCAGCGTTATTTTGAAGAATGTGCGATTAGAGTGGAAAGTACGTACAATATATGCTCAGAATTTATTTCGAATTCAATCTCTCTGCACAAGCAGGAACCATGATACGGTGGTGACATTGTTCGTACGTTGTATAAGGCAAGATATAAGATGGGAGGACAGATCAAGTAGACCGAGTCGTGCTCAGTAAGCAGAGTTCGTTTTTCCGGAAATTATCGGAGATAAATACTGGAACACATGCTAAACTTAAATTATTACAAACAAGCTCGTTGCGCGATCCAAGCTGTCCATGCTGCCGAGCATCACCATTAATCACAAATTTTATGAGCGTATCCCTACATCGGCAAACTGATCTTTTCCCGGCCTTGTCTTCGACTGCTGAGCTCCTTCAACAGGATGTACCCAGGACGTCCTATCCTTCGTATATACTTCCAACTGTGGTTTCACCTCCTCCGTAATTCCATCACCAATAGTTACATTGAAGTCGTCCAGTGCGCTATATAATACAGCAACTTGATGTCCATCGCCACCGCCCTCATTATAAAGCGAAGAACCGCAGAGGCTGCAGAATTTGCGGGATAGCTCATTGCTAGAGTCTTGACTGGTGTCATTGAAGGTACCAATGAAGTTCTCTCCTTTCGTGATTGTTATCGGATTCTAATTCAGAAAGGGCAATTATAAGTAATGGAAATCTCACAGGACAAGTACACAGATGAACAGGAGCGTACGTTAGCCGGGAACAGGACGCTAGTACTGAAGACAGTCCCAGTATATTTCTTACAATTCTTGCAGTGACAGCATACCGTACTATATATCAATCAGTGCAAATTCAGTGTTAATGTTGGAACGAGAAGTTGCTCACACCATTGGCTCTGTGTTCACTTCAAACTCAACCTTCCCACATAGACACGAACCATGGTAAGGCGGAGGCATCGTTATGGGTCGGTCAGAACGAGGGCTAACTCGTGCAGTAAAGAGTGGAACCATCTGAATAATCTCAAACTATCAACTCTGCTGAGTAAGCACGAGTTGTTCTGCGGAAATTCATCGGAGATTAAGCGTCCAGTGGATAGAATGGTCGCACATGAGCTTGTCGTGTGATCCAAGTGGTTGTATTGCCTGATACCATTTGGTTATTGGAAACCTCTGACCAAAAGCAAAGGAAAGCTGGGAAGAGAAGTGTTCCACTAATGCAAACGCGAAAGAAGACTTGTGATGTGTAATCAACAATGGATGTCTTGGACAGTGACCTGCAGCAACGGTACTTACTAGTTCTCTCCTTCGCGAATCTTATCGAGTTCTATGAGAAAGGCAGAGGCAGATATTTAGACATAGACGCCGTCGGTAAACGCAAAGAGAATCCATCAGCAGACGAGACACAGTGTTCCCGGTTAAGACTGTTCCAATTTACTTCTCACAATACTTGCAGCAGCAACGGATTACTCCTGGTAACAAACTGGAGTGTTCTAAAGAGAATAAAAGATCATAACCAAAGCTGAAAATACGTACAGTATTTGCTCAGGGTTTATTCCAAACTTGATGACTCTGCACAAGCAGGAGTTATAATGCAGCAGTGGACTTGTTTCTGTGTGTTAGCTAGAGCAACTTGTGAGATGTGAATTGTCCAAAGTAACGCGAGTCGCGTTCAATAAGCGGAGTGCGCTTCTCCGGAAATTTATCGAGAACTTATACTGAATTTATTTGCTACGAACATGAGCTCGCTTCTACTGCCCAATCTGGTCAACCTGCCTAGCAGTATTCGCAATTACGAAACTTTATTCAGTTAAGTCAGCAAACTAATCCCTTCCGGGCTTTGTCTTCGGCTGCTCAGCTCCCTCGACAGAACGCACCCAGGATGTCCTAACTTTCGAATAATACTCCACTTGAGGCTTAGCCTCCTTCGCGATTCCATCATCTCCAACCACATTGAAGTCATCCAATGCACTGTAGAATACAGCGAGTGTGCGTCCGAAGTCACCGCCAGTGTTGTACAGCGGTGAACCGCAGAGGCTGCAGAATTTGCGAGATAGCGAATTACCAGAGTCTTGAACAGTGTCCTTGAAGGCGCTGACAAGGTTCTCGCCTTTCGTAATCCTTATCGAATTCTTTGGGAAGTAGAATAGTAAGTAATGGACAATTTAGTACAAGTAAAATGGGAGCATACATTAGCCGCGAACACGACATTTGTGGTGAAGACGGTCCCGGTATATTTCTTACAATTCTTGCAGTGGCAGCATGATACACTGCACACCAATAAGCACAAATTCGCAGTATGATATTGAAACGAAAAGTTACTCACATGATCGGCTCGGCCGCCACTTCAAACTCAATTTCCTTGCATAAACAGGAGCCGTGATAGAGCGGAGCCATTGCTACTAGGTCAACCAGAACGGGGATTATTTCGTGTGGTGATATTTGGACGGAACTGTCTTAAGTAGACTGAGAGTACTTGTCTTGCTCAATAAGCGGAGACCGTTTTGCGGAAAATTATCGGAGATTAGAGTATCAAGCGAATTTATTTGCTGCATAAGAGCTCGTCGTGTGATCCAAGTGGACGCCTTTCCTGACTAATGCCATGGATGTTTGGAAGCCCACACTTGAGCTTAGAGGTGCTGTGGAAAGAAGTTTGCCAGTATAGATTTGATCCGTCGTTGGAAGAAGCAAGTCAGGTGCACGCACGTGACATACTGCGTTGAACAATGAATTTGAACTGCTTCTTCATTCGTCTTTCTGACGTTCGAGGCAGCATCAATGGCAAAAAGAAGGGTTCCCCCACCGGTTGATGGTATAATCATAAAACAAGCGTGTGGTGCAACACCACCAGAAACTTAGATTGTCATTCCTTGAGACAATAGAAAAAGGGACGTATACGCCCTGCAAAGCGTACAAGTGGTTTCGAGACGTTCATTGTCAGCCTTTCTATTTCTCATTTGGTGAGTGGTTGCATTCAATTTTGAGGTATTTTGCATTTAGTACAAATATGTTTGTTAGGACGAAATTATGGGCTGTAAGCCTGACCCTTCAGGATTAAACATCACAGTATTTTCTGCAGGTCGTAGTGTCTGTACATGACCCTTTACTACACGAATTTCAAAAACGAACTTGAGTTGACTGTGAGACTTCTTCGGCCTTATGGAGAACATACCCTCTGACGTCAAACTACGGATACCTATCTACTTTACACAAAGAGCCTATCCTCGACTTACAATTGTCTCTTTCTCACTGCTCCTCGATACAGTCTCTGCAGATCACACACTCGTCCTCATAGACCTATCCACTGGCCAACAGAGAGGCGTCATCAATACACCTGAGCCATTTCAAATGATTGGGTATGCGAGATCTTAATAGAGCATATTCAGTGGGAAGACACGATCGGTCAAGACTAGTCTGGCTATAGGGGCTTCCTGACACTACAGTACTGTCATCTTGCAACAAACATGCAGTATGTTATTGTCCTATCCTTGGGTGCCTGGTTCTCCTGAATTAGAAGACCTTGCATAAACTGATTTGTTTAGACTCAATTCTCACCCTGAGGAATGCTGTTTGCAATGTTTCATGCTGAAGGTCTTGCCTCTGCTGAAATGGTGCTTTAGTCGGACAATATCTGCTCCCTCAGCTGATTGGCTACTACTCTTTCCCCTTGCACGAACACCACATGCAATGACAGTGCAATTCATGTCTATGTCAGATTGTCTACTATGAACAGAATGAGTTGAAGTAAAGTGGAAGAGAACAAGTGGGCAGATAGTGAACATGTGGAGGGAAGCTGGGGGGGGAGGCTGACAATCTGGTGGCACAAGTGAAAGACAGTAGATGAGAGGTAATCCCCAAATTTTGTAATGTTCAAAAAAAAGTGTAAAGGCTGGAGCCTCACTCAAGAACACAGAACAGGCAAAGACCTGGGATTAGAGAGGTTGACCTAAGTATAGGAGCAAGTACAAAGATAATCTCTAAGTGTTTACAAATAGCCCTTTATATACTTAACTAAAGTCATGTGTGTAACCTTAGAGGTTACAACCTCCCAAAATAATAATGTTAAAATATACTTATTATTTTTTAACAGTATAGTATTGTCTTACAATATATACAAATCATTACAAGCATTTGGATAGCTTGCTTTTGTTTTGTATACAGTTTTGTATTGAATAATTAATAAAATGTAATTATATTTAATTATTTAAAACAAAAAGATAGTGAATATTATATTATTTCTACAGTCCCAATCCCTGCATCACTAGCAGCCTCTGCCTTATTCTTCTGCAAGCAGAATTCGCGTCAGTAAAGGATTAATGCGTTCTTGGGCCGTACAAAGTAGTCTTCGTCACCATGCCTTGGTTGTCACTCAGTCCCTGCAAGTTGAATTGCAAGGTCAAGCAGGTTTTGGAGGTTGAGGCTGTGCCTGTGAAACAGACTTGGAGTGATTTAGCAAGTGACAATAAGAAAGAAAAGATGGACGCACGGTGATGGTGTGCAGCAAGTGTGAGTAGTGCATGCAGGTTGAGATCCAGAGTGTTGAACGAGTTGATTCAGACTGCAGACGAAACTGTGTCTGTGTGCGTGTGCTCTATAGTTTATCTACAGTGTCTGATGGGAGGTGCAGTAAACTGAGTCGTCGATTGCAAGGTGTATCTCTGGGACGTTCCGGCTCGAAAGGTGAAGGTGAAGTGGAAGGCAGACAGACTCGGCTGAGAGGGGAGTGGAGGGTCACTGCTTCCGTTAGAAATGGTGTCATGCACAGCACTGGGGAAAGTAAACGCACGCAGTGTGGACCCATCAAGGGTGATGCCAAGCATGGGACGGGTGGGGAAGAACGTGCGCGTCGGATTGGAGAGAGGATTGCGCCTTGGGAGTAGTCGTACATGGACATTGTTGCGAGCATGTGCTCGTCGAGTATTGCTTGCACTGCAGAGTGGGGAGAAGTATGCGAATTATTAGCAAAGTTGTTCAGTATTGATCAACAATGCGGATGCGCGAATGCAACTGTAAAAAAGAAGGTAAGAATAATAAAAAGGAGGACAACGAAGGAGAGGCAACGCAAGAGGCAGAACGAGGAGCAGGAGGGATGAAAAGGAGACAAAAAGTTGGGAGGAAAGGGATGAGCAACTATTGTGCACGTTATTATGAAGTGGGCTGGCTGCTTACAATTTACACTGAAGGACGGTGTAGCCAGCTGGGTTGTGTCGTCACAGGATCTGAGGTTCAGTGCAGGCAACACAGTGGCAGATTAGAGAGACAAATGCAGCAATGTTTATTGTCTAGGTGGTTGCAGCCAGTGTGCCTGCTGGAGGATGCTTGTAGGCAGAGGACTGAGCTGGAGAGAACAAGAGCAACAACATAGTGTTGAGGGAGGAGGGTTGGGGAGATGGTGGAGGTAGGAGGAAAAGGAGTGACGAGAGCAAGTGCGTCATTATATGCACTCGATCTTCGGTACTCGATTATGTAATCACTTCGATATATTGTTTAAAAGTAAAACCAAATTATATTATAAGTCTAACAGGGTGATTGTTAACAATATTAATATATATAATTGCATATTATCTTACCAAAAGTACTATAATCAACTTACAAGCATAATACATTACTTTTATAAATATTATAACTAATCAACTACTGTTGTATATTAATTTATATACAATTTTAACATATTGCAATAAAAGTTAAGTACTTGTGTCTCACATATAATATTGTAGTAATACTGGTAGTAACATTACTTGCTTCAAAAAACAATTGTAGTATAATACAATTCTTGTATAAGTATTACATTTATATACAGTTGTTACATTTCAATTACAAGCAAAGTATAATTATAATTTTGAATTGTAATTAATATATAAGTACATTATTACATTACATTTGCTATTATTAATTACATTTGTTGCGACTTTTTCGTGATGCCGCGTCGCAGTAATGGTGACGGTGGTCTTCGGATTCGTAGTCAGAGAGTTGCCTGGCGTGGGCGTGGCGGCAGCGAGGATAGGGAGAGCGAGGAGAGCAATGTACTTGTTGAACATCATTGTATAGAGCAGTGAAGAAGCTGGTAAGGCTTAAGAGAAGACAGTTGTAGCTGCGAGCTGGATTGCAGAACGACTGGAGAACATGAGGTCGAAATAGGTGCACTTTTATACTTGTCTGGGAGGCCCGTGCATACACTGTCCAGATCTGCACAGTGCTAAGAAAAGAAACATACAACAGCTACGTAAAGCACTCTCCTACACACCTACAGTACCCTACAGTAATACTCTAGTTAATTACAAACTTTACAAATGCTATACTGAATTCCTGTTCACTCTTAAAGGCTTATAGGGAGAATATTACTACCTGCTGGCCTACCTTTGATCTCCTAACAGACCCTCATCAGATTGGTCCTAGGATTCTAGGAGAATGTGTCAGGAAGATTGTATACAGTTGTACTAGAGTTGTACACATTGTGCCTCATTGTGAGTCTTGTCAGTTGGCTACAAGTAAGATTCTGCTACTCAAATATATACTTTCACTATACTACCCTCTCCTAGTAAACCCTCATCAGATTGGTCCCTGGATTCTAGGAGAAGGCATCAAGAAGAGTGTGTGTAGTTATACTAGAGTTACATGTGTTGTGTATCATTGTGAGTCTGGTCAGCTGTCTACAATTAAGGTTCTACTACTCAAGAATATACTTTACTGTACCACTTTAAGTAGATTATCTACAAACTTGCTCTTGCTCATAACCTTTCTGCCACTCATTACAATCTCAAGCTAGTGTCTAGAAACAAGCTGTAGAAGCCCCTACTATCCTATTTCTCAAATTGTTTGAGGAGAACACTATCTTAGTACTACTACTAAGATTAGGAGCTACTGTACAATTACTCTACCAGAACACTGTCAAGAAACAAGCTACAGAAGGACCTACTGTCCTAGTCCTGAAATTGTACAAGGAAGTACTATCTTAATACTACTACTAATATTTAGAACTGTAGTGTAATTCTCTTTAGGAGCTATAGGTTCTATACTGACAGATAGTGTTTACTTTTAGTATAACAGATGTTACAATTAAGCTGTCAACTATAGTGTATTCATTGTATACTTGTTGTACCTACTGTAATGTATATCTCTCTATTGTTAAGGTGTTTATTAAGACTGTCTATTCCTTACTATACTATCTCTTACTCTGTCACTGTCTAGTGTCTACTGTTATTGTCTACTATCTACTAAGAGTATAAAGTCCCTTTCCCTTTCCTTCTTGTTTCCTAGAGTATAAAGCCTCTTTTCCAGTTGTAGACCTAGTCAGGGTACTAAGCCCCTACTAGTGTCAATTCCAGTCCTAAACATATAGGGCCTTTACTAGCATCACCTTCTGTTTCCTAGAGTATAAAGTCCCTTTTCTAGTTGTGAAC